CCTTGTATTTTGTGATAAAATTACAAAAGAGAAGCAGTTGCTTCATAAACCGTATATAAGTCAGAGAAGCTGATTTTGTGGCATTTAACTGGTCTTGCAACATAATGTTGCACATAGAGGGGAAAAGTCTTGTGCTGTTCTGACATAGCTGAATGTTTCTACATACTTTATATGGCGTAACAGGCTGCGGTCAGACGAGAATATTCTAGATGTGGGCATAGGAAACACAAAATGATTCTTTTACTGTAGAACTACAAGCATCCCCATGCTCACAGAGTTTCCCTAGGTTCACACCTAAGCCTCTTCCGCTTTGCAGAAATGCACTACAATCCATTTAACATGATTTCCTATGGGATAGGTTCATATCTGTGCGTTTTCCCCCTTTGCGTTTTTTGGAAAGGGTCGGGGACTTTTTTAAACACAAAAAGTTGTTTTTGGTTCTACAGACCTCAATGGAAACGCTACAGAAAAGAATGTAGTGCATGTGTTTTTGATGCATTTTTGCAGCGTTTTGCATTTTAAATCTGCCTAGCAACAAGAAAAAAATGCAGCAAAACCACATGTGCAAAAACGCAAAATGCACTGGAGAAATGGATCGAATGCAAACTGCATAGGTGTTTTTGTTGCATTTTTTGCTGCGCTTTGCATTTTAAATCTGCCTAGCAACAAGAAAAAATGCAGCAAAAACGCACAAAAAAAATGCATCAAAACCACGTGCAAAAACACAAAAAGCACTGGAGAAATGGATCAAGCGAAAACTGCATAGCTGTGAACCTAGCCTTTGACACCATTAGCTGAGTACATCAAGGTGAACATGAGAAAATGTGTTCACTAAGCATCCCTTTAGTTTGTTATAATACCCTGGGAGACATTTATCAATAAAGTCACACTTGTTTTGCTTACAATTGCTGCATTTTGTATTAAAAATGTATTAATTGAGTGTGCTGTTTTGTCCAAATATATAAGAGTGTGATAGATTTTCCACAAATGTCATTTCAGTTTGCTTAATATCAACCTTCGGCTGTGAGCCTGGGGCTGTATGACCTAAAATTTGGGTGTATTTCCTCACCTGGGTGCCACAGGTGCTGCATACTGCTACCCATATAAATTGATGGCTGTCCATGGGTATACATTGGTACTTGTGTACAGGAGCGGACTGACCATTTGGAAACTCGGGCACTGCCCGAGGGCCCGGGGTCAGTAGGGGGCCCCATGAGATGCCCCTGGTACCTTTTTCATAGGCTTTTTTGGGTTTGGGCAAGGACACAGGGGCCCCATGATCCCATATTGCCTGGGGGCCCCATGAGTTGTCAGTCCGCCCCTGCTTGTGTAGATAAAAGGAAGCCATCAGCTCGACCTTCCACAATAAATTAATTTACTAATCCAGATGTGGTAAAAAATAATCTAGGGTTTACGCGTTTCGGCATGTAGCCTTAGTCATACCCATGATTGATGGCTATGACTAAGGCTACATGCTGAAATGCCAAAGCCCTGGATTATTTTGTACCATGTTTGGATTAATAAATTCATTTATTGCGGAAGGTTGAGCTGCTGGCTTCCTTTTATCTACGTTTGCTCGGGTGCTAGGAGGACACTACTAACCAGTACATCAACCACAAACCACCTCGGGGAAATAGGTGTTTTCTATATTATACACACTGGTACTTGGATGAACACATGCATTCTTGCACACATATGCCCCGAATGTGGACAGACTGCATCCAGAGGTATATGTCCATCATGTACTTGTACACACAAGTACTGGCGTATACATGGATACAGCCATTGAATTTTATGGGCTTTGTACATAGCACTTTCGTTCCTGGGTGAGGAAATACTCAGGAATTTCACCTCATATAGACCTTGGAGTCCATGTGGAGTGCTTTGTGGCTCTTGTCAGTTCTCAAAGGGTTAGTTCACCTTTACAAAAAACTTCCTGGTAGGGAGCGTCTGTAGACAAAAAATTAACTGTGTAGCTTTGACTAAAGCTGAATATTGCCCTTGCTATAGGTATAAGCCATTTATGTCCTACAACAGAAAAAAGCTCTCTCACCGGGGTCCCATGTGGAAGCTGCGAAACCGGTGCACAAGCTGATAGTGTATCCAGTATCGTTTGTAGAACTAGATGCAATATAGGATACAGCCGGCAACTCTGTAAAATCCATTTGTGATTATATTTATTTACTTTAACCACTTGCCCTTTAGGGGATTTACCCCCCTTCCTGACCAGGCCATTTTTTGTTACAGCGCTGTGTTACTTTAACTGACAATTTGCGTGGTCATGCAATGCTGCACCCAAATTAAATTTATGTCCTTTTTTTCCCCAACAAATGGAGATTTCTTTTGATAGTATATGATCGCCTGTGCATTTCTTCTTTTTTTGCTCTATAAACAAAGACCGACAATTTTGAGAAAAAAACAATATTTTTTGAGTTTTAGCTATTAAACATGTCTAGTAAAAAAAATGTAAAAATCAAATTTCGTCATAAATTTAGGCCAAAATGTATTCTGCAACATGTCTTTGATAAACAAAAAATCCCAATACGTGTAAATTAATTGGTTTATGTGAAAGTTATATAGTGTTTTACAAATGGCAGTATATAATGGATTTTTTTTTTACTTGTAATGGCGGCGATCAGCGACTTATAGTGGGACTGCGGCGGAGATTCTGACACTGGGGGGAACTGACTTGGAGTCACTGACATCCCCAGTGACACCAATACAGTGATCAGTGCTAATAAAAAGCACTGACACTGTACTAATGGCACTGGGCAGGAAGGGGTTAACATCTGGGGGTGATCAAAGGGTTAACTGTGTGCTGTTTTATCACTTGGGCTGTGTGTGTGCTTCACTGTAAGCACACTACTTTTGTATGGCTCTGCTGTGCAGTGTGCAGGAGCTGACAGGGGAGAGATCTGTGTTGTTTATACACAGGTCTCTCCGCCGTCGGAGATACTCAGCAATCACCGGGTCCCGGCGAGTAATCACCAGCCAGGACCCAGTGATTGACAGCCGAGGCCGTGAATGGCTTGCGGGTAGGAAGTGCGCGCCCCTCCATACCCCAAACTCAAAATCATGTGTATATATACGTGATTTTGCACACCTGTGCTGCCCTGTAGCAGTATTTCTGCTATACGGCAGCGCAGAACTGGTTAAAGGGGAGTAGAGCATAAGTATGCAGAGATGGCATCATCTTGCTCTACCTTGTTGCTAGGATGTTGCTAACACACTGCTTACCCCCACCATCACAGAAGCAAGCTCTCACATCCCCGCACATGTATGGTATCCCTGCCACAGCATCACTTTTGCTCAGAGCTACTGTGTTAGGATAGAGATGGCACATGTGAATGAGTAAGAATTGGTCGGAAGTGTCTTAGCAAAGACCTAGCAGCAAGGCAGGATGGGATGATGTCATCTTTGGGAGTTTGGAATGGCCTACACCTATAGCAAGGGCATTATTCAACTTTAGTCAAAGTTGCATAGTTTGTTTTTATCTACAGACACCCCTTACCTGCATAGGCAGTTTTTTGGTAAAGATGAAATAACCTCTTAATTTAGGACTAGATCAGTGCCCTAATTCCAACATAAACTAGTTTACAGTACTGTGTTAAATTTGTGAATTTGTTCCAGGTTAGCAGGTAAATTTGCTAAATTTATTAATCTAGATGTGGTACAAAATAATACAGGGTTTACACATTTTGGCATGTTGCCTTTGTGGTGTGCCCCTCACAAAGGTTTAGCTGTAACCAGAACATTTTGTCCTGTATATATGTTCTGAATACATTCAGATACTGCAAAAAAAAAAAAGCACATATGTGTTCAGAAATGTCCCCCTGTGTATGCTGCTATTTCATCTTGAAATCGACACTCCTGGAAGTGTCGGATTGTTGTGGTTCCCCTTGCTGAAGGCCCCTTCTAAGAGAAAAGCAATTTGTTCCTTTTGAAGTAAGAGACAGTTCTTGGTGAAGGTGCTGGGATCATACCACACAGGCTAGAGATCCTGGATCTCACTTGAGACAAAGCTCCATAGCTGCTGGCCCTTCTGATCTCAGAGAGAAGAATGCGGCACCCAGCATCTGGCAGTGTGAAATGAAGGCACCTTTCAGGGCAAACAACTGGAATGAGATATTTGGACTGCAATATGATTGGGTATTTAAAACGTTGGGAAAATTAAAGGGGAATGTATTTTTAACCTGGTTTTAGCATCTTTTCTACAAGATTTTAATTTCATAACTTTAAAATGAACTTAGTATTTGATTTTTTTCTTTAACAGATTAAGTTAGTATTTGAATTTTAGAATCATTTCCCACATGGAAGGAAAGAAAGAATCCTAATGTGGTTTTCTCCATAAGGGGTTTACTTGCAATGTCTATGACTAAAGGTACCTGTCTGTATCCGTAGCCTTACTTTTTTTTAGCCAATCGGTAGTAGGATAGCACATGTACAACCAGTCACCTAGTTATTTAGGCTCCTCAAAGTATGAGTTCCAGACAGACAGAGCAGCCACTTAGAGCAGGATCATTTGTCATACTAAACTGTTAACCTCTTCAAGTCCAGACACTTTCACCCCCTTCCAGTCCAGGACAATTTTCAGCTTTCAGCACTATCACACTGAGTGACAATTACTTTTACAATTACATTTTTTTGAGACAGATAGAGCTTTTTTTTTTTTTGGTGGTATTTGATCACCACTGGGTTTTTAATTTTTTGCTATATAAATGATAAAATACAGAAAATTTTGAAAAAAAAAAAAAACTTTTTTTGCTTAGTTTTTGTTATAAAATTGTGCAAATAGATAACTTTTTTTTCATACATTTAGGCCAAAGTTTATTCTATTACATTTTTGGGGTAAAAATAACCGAAAACAGTTTATATTATTTAGTCTGTGTGAAAGGTATAGAGTCTACAAAGTATGGGATATATATTTGAAAATTGGTCAGTTGAGATGCTAAAATGTCGGACGCTGCTATGGCATATGGCAGTGATCAGGATGCTGTCATGGGTATGGCGGTGATCAGGATGCTGGTATGTGGTATGGCGGTGATCAGGATACTGATACGGGGTATGGCGGTGATCAGGATACTGGTACAGGGTATGGCGGTGATCAGGATGCTGGTACGGGGTTTGGCAGTGATCAGGATACTGATACGGGGTATGGCAGTAATCAGGATACTGATACGGGGTATGGCGGTGATCAGGATACTGGTACGGGGTATGGTGGTGATCAGGATGCTGGTACAGGGTATGGCAGTGATCAGGATGCTGGTACGGGGTATGGTGGGGGGATCAGGATGTTGGTATGGTGTATGGCGGTGATCAGGGCATTGGTATGGTGCATGGCGGTGATCAGGGCATTGATATGGTGTATGGTGGTGATCAGGGCGTTGGTGTGGTGCATGGGGGTAATCAGGGTGTTGGTATGGTGCATGGCAGTAATCAGGGTGCTGGTATGGTGCATGGCGGTGATCAGGGTGCTGGTATGGTGTATAAAGGTGATCAGGGCACTGGCATGGTATATGGAGGTGATTAGGGCGCTGTTATGGTGTATGGGGGTGATCAGGTCACTGGTATGGTATATGGGGGTGATCAGGGCACTGGTATGGTGTATGGGGGTAATCAGGGCGCTGGTATGGTGTATGGGGGTGATCAGGGCGCTGGTATGATGTATGGAGGTGATCGGGGCGCTGGTATGGTGTATAGAGGTGATCAGGATGCTGGTATGATGTATGGAGGTGATCAGGGCACTGGTACGGTGTATGGAGGTGATCAGGGCACTGGTACGGTGTATGGAGGTGATCAGGGCACTGGTACGGTGTATGGAGGTGATCAGGGCGCTGGTACGGTGTATGGAGGTGATCAGGATGCTGGTATGGTGTATGGATGGTGTGATCAGGACGCTGGTATGGTGTATGGCAATGATCAGGACGCTGGTATGGTATATGGAGGCGATTAGGGTGCTAGTATGGCATATGGCAGTGATCAGGGTGTTTGTTTGGGGTATGGAGCTGATCAGGACACTGGTATGGTGAGGATCAAGACATTGGTATGGTGTATGGGGGTGTTTTGTGTGCACTGGGACAGGTGCAATTATTTATTATTGATATTGTGGGGCAGTGTTCAGGGACACGGGCACTAAACTGGGGCACTGGGATGACAGGCTGCTGTACACTCACACACACTGCAGGATCACTTCTCTCTGCTCTCACACTGAGAGCAGAGAGAAGTGATCTTTACTTTGTTTCATTGTTTACCATGTGAGTGCTGTGATTGGTCACAGCAGTCACATGGTAAAACACCACGTGATTGCCCGAACACAGCCGCAATGTGAACAGCTGTCTCCGAACAACACACCGTTCACCTGGTGTATGCGCTCTGTGAGCCGCGCAGGAGCCATCGATGCAGGTTGACATACAGGAACGTTAGACCGCATCGGCGCTGCTTCCCATCCACCATCTATGTATAATGGGTGGACAGGAAGAGGTTAAAGAGTTCTTGGTATGCAGCCCAAATGTTTCCTTTTCTGTGGAGACAGGTGAGCTTATAAACCATATGCTGTGCACAGAATTTACACAATGACTTTCCAGCCTCCCCCTTATGACAATGACTGGGCATACGGTGATTGGCCACTGAGGCACCAAGGTTTGCATCGTTGGAGGGTCACATGCAGAACTTCTGCCTTTCCTAGTTGGCTTACTTGTTGGAATGCTACAGTCAAGCAACATGCATTTTCACAAGGAAAGGACATAGAAACATAGAAGAGTGACAACCAAGTAGTCCATTGAGTCTGCCCCATTTTCTTTTTAGTTAAAGGTTATTTTGTTTCCAACTTTTTTGTCTGAGTAAATTCTTCCAAAACCCTTCATGCCCCAACATAGAAAAAGCCTACATTCATACAATAAAAGTATGGGTATACAAAATATGTAATTGCAATGTACTGAATACCAAGATTTGTAAGCCTTCGTTATTTGATATTCTTATTTGTAACTGCACCCCTATTCTACATTGCAATCATATGTCTTTACCATTGATGGTAGGAAACTATGACTGGACCTTCTGGATTTCCTACTTGGGGATAGAGCAAAATATCTTGGCGGATACTGCAAACATCATATGCCAAAGATTTGAGCTCCTTAGGTGACTCTGAGCTCAACAAACTGTATTAATTACCTAATGGTGTTGTTCTCCCCAGGATGAGTGAGAGCACTATTTTTGTAACATGTTCCCAATGCTGCAGCTGCTGCCCGTTCCCACCCTTCCCCCCCATGACCACAGTAATGGGAGAAGTTTCCCATACTAGCTGTCACTTTTTAAAAACAGTGCGGTCATACGGGACTCTGCCCACACGGCCTCATCATTCATTCACAGAGTTCTGTGAATGAATGAACTACAAGTCCTGACAGTCTTAGTGGCTGTCGGCTTGTAGTTCTCAATTAACTACCACGGTGCTGCGGAGTGCCGTGGCATTTCATTGATTCTTCTTGTCAGTATATCTGACTGCCACGGGCCAGCAGGTATACTGATAGGTCTGCAGGAGACTTACATGGCACCAGCGATCTGCTGATCTTTACAAGCTCCTGCAACAAAAAATAATAAATGTGCATTTTTTTTTACCTGCAAAAAAAATCTGCATTTATTATTTTTTTGTCAAAAGGTGAACTTATTCTTTAAGGTTTTAATACCACATGGATGCTTGCTTATAGGGTATATGTATGTAACTAGAACATCATGCAGAGTCCCTTTCAGGATTATGTTATCAAGGCATGATCCCTATTGATGGGCACAATGATCCATTGTACTACCTCTGCATGGATCTTTTACCAATTTTTTTTTTTATTGTATATTGCATTACCTAATCTGTATGACAGTTGCACATGTTTAATTAGAATTTTGGCTGCATAAACTAGGGAATGTAGGGAACTCACTAATGATCTACTAACTGCTAAAACCAATGGCCACTACTTCGTACTCTTACTACTTGACCATCCTCTCCTCCTCAAAAAACTCCACTCTCTTGGCCTCAGAGACTCTGCTCTCTCCTGGTTCTCCTCCTACCTATCGCAGCGCTCCTTCAGCATTACTTATAACTCTCGCTCCTCCTCTTCACTTCCTCTTTCTGTAGGGGTCCCTCAAGGTTCTGTCCTTGGACCCCTTCTCTTCTCCATCTACACCTCCTCCCTTGGTCACTTGATAAACTCCCATGGTTGTAAGTACCATCTCTATGCTGATGACACCCAAATCTATCTTTCTACCCCTCACCTCACCCCTTCAGTCTCCTCTCGCATTACTAACCTACTAAGTGACGTATCGGCATGGATGTCACTCCACTTCCTAAAACTCAATCTTTCCAAAACTGAGCTCTTAGTATTCCCTCCAGCCCGTGCCCCCTCCCCTGAGTTCTCCATCAAGATCAATAACACAATCATCAGTCCCTCCCCTCATGCCAGGGTACTAGGTGTAATCCTAGACTCCCATCTGTATTTTCACCCCCAAATCCAATCACTGTCCAAATCTAGTAGACTTCACCTCTGCAACATCTCCAAGATACGATCTCTGAAAACCTATCTCTTCAGGGAAGCCTATCCTGCCCTCAGCTAATACTGGAATCTTCTACTCTTCCAACCAGTCCATCCCCCACAGTTACTACCTTTTATTCCACTAGCCCCTCCCTCCTAGATTGTAAGCTTCAAGGAGCAGGGCCCTCAAATCCATCTTGTATTGAACTGTATTGTTGCTGTATTGTCTCCCGTTATATTGAAAAGCGCTGAGCAAACTGTTGGTGCTATATAAATCCTGTATAATAATATTAATGTGCTTTATTGCTCTTATGGATGTGTGAGAGGGGATGCTCTAGACCAGGGGTCTCCAAACTGTGAATGCAGCCCTTTGCTTGCCTTTTTCTGGCCCTTGGGACACTATTCCTCCTATTAACACCAACAAGGGGGCACCATTCCTTCCAATGACATCAATAGTGGGGAACCATATCTCTCACTGACACCAGCAATGGGGCATTTTTCCTTCCACTGATATAAACAATTAGGCCCTATTGCCCCAGTGATACTAATGATGGGGCACTATTCTTCCCAGTGATACCAATTTTATGGCACTATTCCTCCCACTAACACCAATAATGGGACACTATTCCTCCTACTAATGTCAATCATGGAGCACTATTCCTTTTCCAAGCCCAAGACATTGTTTACTGCTGACACTGAGGCATTTTTTTTATTCCCACTGGCCACTCTGCCCCCCTAAAGACTGAAGAACAGTAACCTGGCCCTTTGTTTAGAAAGTTTGGAGACCCCTGCTCTAGACACCAAAGAGGTGTAGCAGCAGCTGTCAGAGCAGACAAGAAGCCTTGACCCAGGGAGGGAGGCCACATCCCAGGGTGAGATGCACTGCTTTAAAGCGAATCTAAATCCAAAAACAAAAATGTAATATGTTGTAGCTTACCACTCCTTAGGTGTTGTGGATGTATTAGTTTCCTTTTTACATACTAATTTCCTTGTACTTTTACCTGGTAATTCTGCAAGTATCACATTTCCTATCTGCTGTATCTATGGAGGGAGTCATGACTGTCACACAGGCGCAACTGCAAACATACCTGCCTTTGTTCATCTCCATTAAATGGTACTTGATGGGATTAGTAGTTTATAAAAGAAAAAATAGCATTGCTTTTGCTGTCTTTTCATCTCACATGCAGTAACAAGGATATACAATTTCTAGCACGGCCAACAGGGGTTTTCTGTACTTGCTGAAAATGTTCTTAGCCTCAAAAACTAATGCATCTACCACATCCAAGGATTGGTAAAGTTTCAATATTATTTTTTGGGGGGGAGGGGGGGGTAGATACGCTTTACGTACATGGGGGTTATGGGAGCCAATCTAGCCTAATGACATAATCTAACCTATAACACTATAATTCTTCAGATCAGCAGCATTCACTTATTTTTTGGTGCAGGCAAGGCTGTACAAGCAAAAAACTGTGTTTGACCGCATTTAGCTACTGTATCTTTACTGTATTTCTAGTACACGGAGTAATCCTTCTTTACCTTCCATAGATATGTGTGTGCTACTGATGGCCATGAAATCTTGTTGAAAACAAGGAGGCAGCTCTCCGAACATTGACTGTAGGAGAAATGTTGTTCTAACTCTTTAATATATGGCAGTGATTAGGCCCTGAAATCTGCACTATTGTGAGCATGTGACTGTGAATGTGTCAGGAAAAACAGAGAATGCCCAGGCGCACATTTATTCACCTATGCAATTACCTATCAGCCATTGTCAGGGAAAACAGAGAATGCCCAGGTGCACCTTTATGCGCCAATGCTAATTATCTATCATCCGTGCCCAGTGCGCATGTGTGTGTGCACGCCGGCCTGCAGACCTGCCACCAGACTGGTGCCAGGCGGGCTATTTTAACCACTGCTGTACTAGGTGTCCTTGCCTTCTGGTCTGCCACGTTCTGTTGTCTGCTGTCTGTTGTATCCTGATCCTATTGCCGACCTGACCTGTCTTGACTTCGCTTGAACTCTGCCTGCACCGACCCAGCTTACCCTTTGACTATATCTCTACCTGTTCCCCTGCTATCTGCCTATGGTAGCTGACTTCTGGCCTGAACTTCGACTATCCGCTTGCCTGCTCCCTGTGCCTGATCCACCTTATAGATCCCGACCCGGCTTGGCTGGCTCTGATTCTTCTCCAGCCTGTGCCTACCACTTGCTACCTACTGTCTGCAGTTACCGAGGTCCTGCTAGAACCTAGCAACTGCTGCTTCTGCTGACCTGCATCCTCTGCTCACCAGCATCCGCAACTGACCTGCATCCTGGTCATCCGGACTACCCACCTGTCAGCTGACATCGCAGACTTGCCAGGCACTCGTGCCACTCCTGGCTCTCGTACCTTCTGTTTGCTATATCAGAGGCACCGAGCAGGAGGTGTAAGAGGAAGCTCTCATCTCCACGTCAGGCTCCCCCACCAGGTACATGACAGAATGTGATAAGCAATGCTTCCTTTACATTTAGTAATGATGAGTTGTGTTTTTTTTTTTTTTTTCTTCTTCACAGGGTCTAATGAACCAGGGAGTTTTACAGCTAAAAATATAGGGGACAATATGAAGGTGGAGTTTGCACCCCTCAATGTCCCTCTGGTCCGAAGGTTGCAGACGGCGGCTGTGTCTCAGTGGGTTTTTTCTTTTTTGTTACTAGGTAAGGCCATTAATAGAACTTATATTAGCAAGCTTTCGTAGGCAATACTTAAAAGATGTGATTTAGTAAATAGAACATTAGCACACCATGGCATCTGTGATGTTGCAGGTTAACGGTTAATCAAAAATACAGTTGCAAGGGTTCCTTTATGGGATTATTATGGGATTACTATAGAGAAAGAGTGCTGTGTACTGGACAATATTGCACCCATTACAATACTACATTTATTTTTAATATCTCTATGGCAATTGCTTGAAAAACGTTCATATTTATGTTTTAGCTATGGAACTAGTTTACATAAGACACACCAAAAGAACTATATAACGTAGGCACAGTGACCCGTCATAAACAGCAAGTACGAGTGGTAGCGTCCCATAATTCTGTTACATGGAACAAAGCAATTATCCTGGCACTGGAGGAGCTACCAATTGAAACACTTTTGTAACATCTCTTTTTATTTTTACTTTCCATTCCCCCCCCCCCCCTTATTCTCACTTACTGATTGCTACACTTTAATATGAGTTTGAATCCTGGGACATGATACCTTTATTGCTTGTACTTGTTGTCTTATGCATATTGAAGTTGATCATTTAGTGGATTATCTCACTCTGCAGTCAGGCATAGCTTGGATTGTGCCCCATTCTGATAGGCCATGCATGGATAGAGACATGAGGCTCCAAGTGTCTGCTGGTCTTCTGTGTACCCCCCCCCCCCTACTCACCTAGATTTGATAGGAGACAGGGCCTTCTCCTGCTATGCCCCACAACTCTGGAAATCACTTCCAAGGAACATCAGAGAGTAATCTTCTCTAAACTCCTTCAAATGAAGTCTTTTTTCTTTAGACAAGCTTTCACCCAATTGTTCTTTTTTTTTCTTTGTTTTATACTGTGTATTTCTTTTTTATGATTTATGTTTGTTTTCTTTGTACAGCACTTTGAGAAGCTACCTTTAAAGGTGCTATATAATATAAAGTTTATTATCATTAATATTGTTATATAAATCTTTTTTTCTATTTTCGTGGGGTATTCCATGTAAACTTTTTTTTCGCTGTCCATTGTGCCTTATTCGAACCTCTGTCTCAAATGAACATTTGTAATTTCTTTTTTCTACTAAACCAATACAAATTATTGAAAAAGAAACAGAAGCAATGTAAGCTTAATTTGAATTTGTTGCCAGATGATGGACTTTCCAGTAAATTGATTGAGCTTTTAAACGAGCCCTCACTGACTTCCTGTACCTGCAGCACTGGGGGGAGCAGCTCATCCTCAAAGCTCACTGCACAAGCACAGGAGTCATTCTTTCAGCAGAAAATTCTCATCCTGCTCCCAATCTCATCAGCAAGAGCTTCTAGCATTCTATTGTAATGTAAACAAAGAATGAGTACCCTGGGAGGGGAAACAGGGGTAGTCAAGTTACTATGAACGTCACTGCTTTTGTTGGCCTTTTAAAGATGGATTTCTCCATAGTACATGCAGCTACAAATGTCAGTAATGGTTTGCTTATGTAAGGACCCTGTTTTGAACCTGCCACCTCTGCTGTGTCTGTTGATGTCTCTTCTTGCTGAGCTACCTAAGGTGCTGTACAGCACCCTGTCTGATCCATTAGACAATCCTGCCTTGTTTCTGTTAAACCTTGAACTTCTTGCTCCTCCAATGAACTTCCTATTTAAGCCATGTTTCTGCACTTCCTGTTTGCCGTAGTAGTGCTTGACAACGGTTCATAAATGTAGGAGCTGTGACGAAATTCATAGTCTCCCATGTCCCAACTAATTGTCCCCCCCCCCCCTTTCAGCTTGGCCATCCCTCTTCTCTGCAGCCTCGGCTAACTGACACAGAGAAGCTAGAGCTACAGATCACATGTTCTGTGTGGAATAAAAATAGGTAAATACACAGGACTTTTTTTACGTAGGTTAGGTAGCAGGAGAGGAGGGGGGACATTTTTAGGCTGGAAGTCAACTTTAACCACTTGACCTTGAGTTACTTTTGGTGGTATATAAACAGCTACATGTTTCTTAGTTTCTGTTAGAAAATTTTGCAAACAATCTTTCTTCATAAATTTAGGCCAAAATGTTGTCCGATACATTTCTTTGGTAAAAACAACCCAAATCAGTGAATATTATTTAACTCCTTCACACCTACGTAACACAAATATGAGGCCTCACAAAACTGGTCTTTTTTCCGCGGGGCCGCATATTTGCGTACCTGTCTTTGTGCTGGGAGCGTGCCACACAGCGTGCTCCCAGCACAAAGACCGGGGTGTCACTGAGAGCCCTGGGTCCTAACACTCGGGACTCCCAATTCCGAGTCACATGATTGCTGTGATCGCCTCTGATTGGCTTTCACAGTGGTCACTGTGAAGCCTGCCCCCTTGGGGGTTTTTTTTTGTCTCTGAATGGAGGAGAGAGATACATTGTATCTCTCTATCTCTTTGCAGAGAGAAGAAAAAAAAACCTGTTTGTAAAAAAAAAAAAAAAGAAATATTACAAAATAAAAAAAGAAATAAAGAAAAAAACTAACTAGATCAAGGTTTGATCTAGTTCAGTGCCAGGGTTAGTGTTTTTGTCAAAGGTCAGGGATTTTTTTTTTAACTGGTATCAGTGTCAGTTAGTGTCAGTGTGTTTTAGGTAAAAAAAAAAAAAACCCAAAAAAACAAAATGCGCACCATTGTTTCTGGGCTGTAGTACAGGTACAAACAACAAATAACATACACATATATGGTATCGCTGTGATCGTCACAAACTGGAAAATGTATTTTTGGGTTTTTCTTTGGTGGTAGGTTATGGCAGTAACAAGAAACACACAGCTAAATTTACTATTTTTTTTACTATTTTGGTCCAGTTTTCATTTGATAATTAAAACAAAAAGTCAGGAGATATCTACTACCATTTACCACCAAATGAAAGCCCAATTTGTCCTGAAAAAAAAAAGGTATAATTCACCTGGATGTACAAAGTAGTTGTGATGATATGTACGGTTTTACTAACACATGTCACAGTTGTAAACTTTTACTCAGGCTTTAAGATTTGTTTTACCCTTAGGCGTGAAGGGGTTAATTTGTGTGAAAGTTATATTGCCTACAAAACTAAGGTAAATATTTGAAAATTGATCAGTCCTGATGTACTGACAGCTTCTTGAAGCCCTAAAATGCCTGGACAGTACAAATACCCCCCAAATGACCCCTTTTTAGAAACTAGACAGTGCAAAGTATTTAGTAGGAGGCATGGTGAATTTTTTGAAATTGTAATTTTTGTCATTTTTTTCGAAAATTAGGAAATTTAATTTTAAAATGTTCACAATTATTTTTTTTACATACTGTCACCAGTGCAGTACAGCGTCATCATATGATTTGTATGGCGGTGATCAGGGATACTGACTGATGACAGTATGTAAAAAAAATAAATAAAATAAACTTTTTTTTTTTTTTCTTACAACTTTTTTGGGCCAGTCACAGCATCACGATAGTAATCAAGCTGTCATGAATGGAAGCCATCCATGACAATGTTGCTTACATGCTATCATGTGATCGCTATGATTGGTCATAGCGATCACATGATAGCCCCGCCATTCACAGCAGCCTGGTACTGAGCACTGTGATCTGCTGCATCCACTGGACACAGTGTGCCACTGTGCATATGTGCACCGCGATATATGGGAACGTTCCGGTTCCTAGGGAAGCCACCCACCAGCAGTAAATGTACTGTTGGCAGGTGGCAAGTGGTTAAGAATATGTTAATACTTGAATGTCCATAGCCTGGCCACAGGTTTACTTTAAAGTAAATTGGTCATAAGGAATAACATTTTTCCTGAGACACACAACGAAGTTAACATTGCTAACCCTACTTTCTAAACATTTTAGTTGGTTGACTAGAATGCTTGACTGTCTGACTTTACCGCTTCGAGTCGGACATCTGAAACAAATATATGTGAATAAGTAGTGTTGACATTTCCCAGACATGATCTCATATATTTTCCCCGATCAATGATTCAAAAGGTATTAAAGTCAGTGGATCAGCGAAAATTGGTATGAACATTGTTAGAAATTCATTTGTTCAAGAAAAATTTAATATGTTGCTCTTTCGAATTTTCTTGTCAGTGTAGTGGAAAAACAAATGTTGATTTGACCCCACCAATAACAGGAAAATTGAACTAACGTTCTTGAAATAAGAAAATTGTAACTAAATTTCTACTAGTGTTCCAGCTTTGTATTACATTAGGATGTGGTCATGCTAGGGTAACATGGCCAAATAAGTATCTCCACCACTGATTGCTGGTGAGAAATGTAACATCCCTTGTAGCCCTAGAATAAAATGGACTTCTCTGGGGTGTTTTTGTGTTGTCCATGGTCAGATTTCCTGGTATCTTAATAGCAGTTTAAAATGTTTACCAATGAACTGGAATCTCAATCGCTTTGCCTTCCCTAGACAGATGAGCCAATGGTAAGAAAAACAGACATAGTGGGGTTGATTTACTGAAACTGGAGGTGCAAAATCTGGTGCAGCTGTGCATGGTAGTCAGTCAGCTTCTAACTTCAGCTTGTTCAATTAAGTTTTGACAAGAAAAAAATGGAAGCTGATTGGTTTCTATGTAGAGCTGCACCAGAGTTTGCACTCTCCAGTTTTAGTAAATTAACCCTCTCGAGAATTCACTGCTTTGTAATGACCTTTTATTCGTCCTCCTTGTAGAACCACCTATTTGAAGAAGTCTACCGTGTTATCGTGTATTTTGTAATATCTCCAGTGCAGGAACTAGTAGATATCTTCAACAAAGTTTGTAAAAAAAACTTGCAATGTTGGTAACACACCTGTTATTTCCTACTTAAAAACGCTTGAGCTCTGTTTTAGATACCTAAATGAACTGAGAAAAGATAGGCGCAAGCAGAGACATAAAAATCGCCAATCTAGAGAAAAAGCATTAGACCATTTACCATAGACTTGTGACTCGTTAGTGTGTGATTGTAGAACAACACAAGGTCATTTCACACTCACCTTTATCCGCATTCGTTTAGCTGAAGTTAAAAATAGTTGGCACACGTTGTTCTTTAGAACTCAGACTCAGTCTTGAAACCTTCCTAGAACAATGTACATTATAGTACATGTCAAAAAAGATACAGTATGCAGGCCTAGTACTAAATCCAGATTTTCCGGTGATATCAAGCACTAATAATATTTGGGAAAATGCCTTTGTGGTGATCTTGTGCTTTGCATGGCTTTACCAGCAATGCAAATACACATGAGTTTTCCCCTTCCTGCTGTTATCTGTAAGAACAATGCTGATAAGGGCCCATGTTTTTGTTGCTGACCTCACAGACTCATTCTAGTTATTTTAAATGAACAGCACTACACTGTAAAATGATCTGTGTTTGAAAATGTATGGAGGCGTCCATTGCTGACCTCCATTTTAAGTCTATTAATTGCCTAACTGGATTCAGTAGTAAGTCACAGGCATGATATGACAGCAAGCATTAGCAGGTCAAAGTGAATATTCTTCCCCAACTGTATTTTTGTTCCAGGTCTATACTTTTGGAGGTATTGAAGCTATTGGTACTACAAGACAGCCAGACAACTGGCATTTTCAGAAACAGAGGTCTTCAAAGACAGTTTCTTTATACTCTCAGTACAGGATCCCATTTAAAGTCATCTGTATGATTTATACCTATAGGTAAGCCTATAATAAGGTTTACTTGTAGGTTTGGTAAATATCTCATTTAGGAGATATTGAGTTTAGTAGCACGCTTTAGTGTCACACGGCTGTGAGTGACGTCATCGCTGCTTGGCCATTCAAGCGGCTGAAGCCCACAAACTCGGAAGGCATACCGGGTGAAGATGGGCTTTGTTTTTTTTTGCTTCTAACCTTCATAGCCTTTGCATAGCTCTTAGCCAGCATCAAGCAGCTTTATTGAAGACTTTAGTCACCGGTCACACTACTGAGATTCAAAATCAGGTGCAATTTTTGAAGACTTTATTGCGACTTTTGAAGATTTTCAGTGATATCTTGTGATTTGCAGTGCAATTTCCATTGTATTCTATGTATGTGAAATCGCAATAAATTGCAGAAAAAGTAATGCAAGAACCACTTTAGAAATCGTGCTACAGCAAAAATTTGCAAATCTTTAAGACACTGACATTCACATTCATTAGATGCGATTTCAGGTTCAATTCGCAAATTGCACTGGTATGACCTGGCACTTAAAGCAACTCTTAGCTCTAGTTTTGGCATGTTAAATGCATATACCAAAAGGAGTGCTGAATGTCATTTTAAATAGGTTGCTAGTAGGCTCACTTTGACTTACACTTTAACACTTTGTGGTATATTACTGAAAGTCAGGACAAAACATGCACAGTATATCTGTGTAATGTATGCGCATTTACTGTGTGTTTTATCCTCTAATGTCCCTAAAAGTACAGAAAAAAAATCACTCCACTTCCAATTTCATGTGACCTGACAACACACAGCAAGTTTGTAGACTGAGTGATGTCAGCCCTTCCCAATTTCCTTTTGCTAAACTACGCAAACCTTACCACTTGCCGGTTTCTACAACATTCTGACCATTCGTAGTCCCAAGAACTAGAGGCAAATTACTCTCTTTGAGAGGCAAACTTATATTACTACTCTTTGATAAAGTGTGTGCATAAGACACAGGACAGCTCTAAATGTCTGATATCATAAGCAGGTATTTTTTCACACTTATTGAACAGATATAACAAAACACTTTCAATGGTATCTTTATGATTGTTGCTTTATAAAATATATTATGTATGTTTTTTTGTGTGTGTTTTTTTTTTTTACAGCAATATGGCTTCAGTAAAACTAAACCACTGCTTTAAAAGTGGAGCCCATTCAGTTATCAAAAACAGTCATACAAGCCATGTGTGCTCTCTTTTTTTCCTCTTGAAGTGGAACTAAACCCTCCTATCCCTTACAGCCAAGGGAGCATGCCACTTAGTCTATGCTTGATCTGCAGTTGCCATGATGCTTCACATGCAACACCAGCTATTCGTTAGCTTGGCAGTATGGTTAATAGAACAAGCAACCATGACGGTTATCATTTCTGGCATGCCTTAAATGTAACTGGTTTGGGAAACAATTCAATAGGTTTAGTTTTTCTTTAAGCCTTTTATGGCTGTTAATGGTGGAGAAGGACACAGACTCAACATACCTCTCAATAACTCTCAATGATATTAAAGGAAACCTGTCATAAAAGAAAAATGGAGGCTGACATTAACTGGCTGCCTGTCATGCCCACCCATTGCTTTTAGTACATTCTAACTGAGCCACTCAGAGCAATTGAATTCAAGACTTCTAATATGCAAACTTTTCTGGTGAATGCTCAGTACATAATACCAAAGGATAACCATACCTTTCCAAAAGTAGTATTATTTGAAGGAGGTCACATATTCCATATTCTTCTTAGGACAGATTTCTTAAATAAAGCCATCAGTAATTCTGGGTGTCTGGCAATCTGTGAATTGGCAACCCTCCTAGCTTCAGAAAATTTGACAAAATTCATAAAAGGTTATATTTAGAGATGTAAGGAGTTATTCTTTAAAGTGTACCCATACCTAAATCTTTGTATTTTTAGTTTTGGATACAAATAAAATAGAAATGATGTACCGCTGCTTGCAGAGTATTAAAAATAAACATCAATCCAGCATAATAAACAACCAAGGTGAATACAAAGTGCTCGTAATATCTAAATATATAAGAGAATACAAATATCATCCATTAATATACAAAAAATAAACTGATATTAAAGTGCTCCAAACAAATGATTCCAAATATAATGCAATCCAACATCAAAAAAATCCATGTTTAATGTGAATTCCATGCATTAATTGGTGTCACTTCTGTGCTCTCATCTCCAAACGCATGTAAAACTGCATGTTTAATAAGACATCTCCTCAGTAGATCACTATTACCTTTAGCCACTAGGGGCTGTCCACTCCTCCTCCCATATAATAGTTGTTAAGATGGCTTTAGAAATCCTCCATTTCACTGGGTAACAGTAGCCTCACCCAAAAGAAAATACGCCTCATATAGTGTAGCAGAGTAGTAAGAACGTCCAATTTTTATTAAAATTGCACTTACATTCAATTACAATTGATTCGCTTTACAGATGAGAAATCGCTGCTTGTACTTCCTTAAGCTTTTCGCACAAGCCGCACGTAAATGTGCGGCCTCCCGATGTCTGGGCCTTGACGTAATTCGTGCAATTAAGAAAAACATATGTGCTGAGAGCACGTGCCCTGCGGACTCCCAGCACACGTCTGATACTCACGGAAAAGTCCCAATCTCCTCTTTCGATCGGGACCTTTCCCGATCATGTGACCGTCGTGACAGTGAATCACGGCGGTCACATGAGCCTAAAACCCTGCCCCACTTCCTGGCTTCTGAAACCCTTAAAGGGCCGGGAGGTGCCAGCGCCAAGGGGTTAATCTGCCTCTGCTTACGCCCGACGCAATGTGTCACCGTCAAGTTACTTCATCAGGGGATAAAAGCGGGCAGATAGCATGTCTTTAAATAGTCTGTACTATTGATTTGATTGGTGGACATTTTGTTGAAGTCTAATGTATGGTGGCCATTTTGCCTATGATTTACAAAGGTGATGAATGGCCATATCTTAAATCACTAGGTGGCAATTTTGTTGAAGTCCAAACACTGGTGGCCATTTTACCTATGATGTCCAATAGTATCAGATAGCCACAATGCTACTATGCATACATGCTAATATATATACATTGCATAGCTCATATAATAAATAATACACCATTACTAATCTAAATGGGCATGGGAATGATATTTACCACAAGCTGTCCTGAGGTTCTAAATGAAACAAAATAACTATAATAAATAATTGTAAATTATACATATAGCAAAGGAGAAAAATAATGAATTTCAATATCATAGAAATGATAAGAATAATGTGGCAGCTACTAATAATCAAATGAAATATAAATCAAGATCTGGGTATCAATTACTTCTAAATGTGGACAATAGTCCTAACAATCATCAATAAAGCAATTTAAATCAAACTCCACGTTGAGATCACTAGGGGTCAGCGTGTTCAACTAGAAAATCCACATAGATTCTTTATACCAGACAGGAAGTGAAAGAATCTCAGCATTAGAGCATCCAATGGCAATGAAACCTGAGTTCTAATCCTTCCTCACCATATTCAGAACCAGGGCTTTTTTTTTTCAGCGGGAATGCAGTTCCAGCACCTCCAGCATCAAATGTATGTAATGGCAAGGGGTGCTGGGGTGTGCTGGAGCGTCTAATGATGCTGACTACTGGGGGATCTATTGTCATTGGAGGGGATCTGTTTTTTCATGGTGGTCTATTGTTGCTGGAGAGAGATCCGTTGTTGTTGGGAGGTCAATTGTTGCCTGAAGGGATCTAGTTTTGAGGGAGGGGTCTATTGTTGCTTGCTCATGGGAGATCTTTTGTTACTGCTTGGGGTCCATTGTTGCTGGGGGAATCTATTGTTCCTGGGGGCGCTATTGTTGCTTGCTGCAGGGGATCTATTTTACTGCTTTTCTTGTTATTATTAACAAAATGACACTTGGCTCTGTATTCTCTAAAAGGAACGGTACTGGGAGGTGGGACCAAAGGGCGGTGCTGGAGAGGTGGGAAGGGGGGTAGAAACAAGGTGTGACTCAGAAGGAGGGGGGGGGGGTGAGTGTCCTGCACCTATTCTCTAAGGTAAAATAGCCCTGTTCAGAACTATCCAATTATGTTTACTTGTAAGTTTTTGTTTACTTTGGTTCAAATGTAAGCATTTGATATTTGGAAGATACAAAATAAAAGTTTTTGAACAGACCATTCATTCTACTGCTAGATATGAAGCTCTGCTATGGGACATGTATTTTATAATGTGTCCATGTTTTCTCTGCAGCACAATGCTGTGTAGGAATATTCCTCATGCTGGTACTTGGCAGGTTCTGGCTACTGACAGCCCTCTATGTCCTCTGGCTCTATTTGGACTGGGAGACCCCACAAACTGGAGGCGCAGGTGGGAGTGGGTGCGGAGTTGGACAGTGTGGAAATACTTCAAGGATTATTTTCCCATTAAAGTAAGTTACAGAACGCCTCCTAATTTACTATGTGATAATATTTCCACTGCCTGGTATGCTAGCCATTACTATGTGTCTGAAAAATGTCATAAAAAGCAATATACTGTATATCATCCAAGCTGCACAGCTCTTAAGGCAAATCCTCCTCACTCCTCCTCAGATCCTTCTGATTCCAAATATGCTCGCATATCAAATATAGATCACATGAAACAGAAAGGCGATGAAACAGTGCTCTCCATTTTAAAAAATTATTCAAATACTCCATGCAATTAAAGTGCACACTTACAACAATGTAATAACAATGTAATAACAATGCACTTTGTAAAGCCCTGTCATCAGCCTGTTCACCACTATACACTGAGGTGGAGGCGGTGTGACATCACAAGCTCAGCTCCTCCCTCCTAGACGCGTTATGTCCCATGATTGGGCTCCCTCACTAGGAGTTGTTCTTTGTATACAGGCAGGTATAACAGCTCTTTTGCATTAATTGTGATTTGCAGAGTACATTCCACTAAATTACAAAAGTGGCTTATAAAGACCTATGTGCTCTAGACTGTGTTTGGAAATCATGTCTTTGGAACCAATGTAAAATGGCTTTGTGTCACATGAGTGAAAGAGCATCCTGTGTTTGCCCTCAGCAGCCTCTGCACCTTTCATCTTTTAGTTGTGATGAACCTATTGGTCAGTTTACATAAACTGATTAAAGAATAAAAAAAAAAGTTAAATGTAGATAGTAAATGGGGCAGCACAGTAACTAAATGGTTAGCGCTTCCGCCTGGCAGTGCTAGGGACCTTAGATTGTACGCTTCTTCACGGTTAGGGACCGATGTGAAGCGCTATATATATATATGTAAAGCACTACATAAATTGACGGCTCTATATACAGTTGCAAGAAAAAGTATGTGAACCCCTTGGGATTACGTGGAGTTTTGCATGAATTGGGCACAAAATGTGCTCTGAAAGTCATCTAAGTCACAACAATAGAAGAACACAGTCTGCTGCACATAATACTACACAAACATTAGATGTTGCCATGGTTTAATTGCACATAACATGTAAACATTCACAGTGCAGGGAGGAAAAAGTATGTGAACCGTTGGACTTAATAACTGGTTGACCCTCCTTTGGCAGCAATAACCTCAACCAAACGTTTCCTGTAGTTGCAGATCAGACCTGCACAACGATCTGGAGTCATTTTGGACTACTCCTCTTCACAAAACTGTTTCAGTGTAGCAATATTCTTGGGATGTCTGGTGTGAATAGCTCTCTTAAGGTCATGCCACAGCATTTCAATGGGGTTGAGGTCAGGACTCTGACTGGGCCACTCCAAAAGGCGTATTCTGTGCTGTTGCAGCCATTGTTTTGTTGAATGACTTGTATGCTTTGGGTCATTGTCCTGTTGCATCACCCATCCTCTGCGGAGCTTCAGTTGGCGGACAGATGGTCGTACGTTTTCCTGCAAAATGTCTTGATAAACTCTGGAATTCATTTTCCCATCAATGACAACAATCCGCCCAGGCCCTGAGGCAGCAAAGCAGCCCCAAACCATGATGCTCCCTCCGCCATGTTTCACAGTGGGGATGAGGTTTTGATGTTGGTGTGCTGTGCCTTTTTTTCTTCACACATAGTGTTGTGTGTTCTTCCCAAACAACTCAATCTTGGTTTCATCTGTCCACAGTATATTTTGCCAGTAGTGCTGTGGAACATCCAGGTGCTCTTTTGCAAACTTCAAACGTGCTGCAATATTCTTTTTGGACAGCAATGGCTTCCTCCGTGGTGTCCTCCCATGTACTCCATTCTTGTTTAATGTTTTCCATATTGTAGATGTGTCAACAAAAATGTTAGCATGTGCCAGAGATTTCTGTAGGTCTTTAGTTGACACTCTGGGATTCTTCTTTACCTCATGCAGCATTCTGCGCTGTGCTCTTGCAGTCATTTTTACAGGACGACCATGCCTAGGGAGAGTAGCAACGGTGCTAAACTTTCTCCATTTGTAGACAGTCTGTCTTACCGTGGACACATGAACATCAAGGCTTTTGGAGATACTTTTGTAACCCTTTCCAGCTTCATGCAAGTCAACAATTCTTGATCATAGGTCTTCTGAGAGCTCTTTTCTGCAAGGCATGGTTCACATCAGGCAGTGCTTCTTGAAAGCAGTAAACCCAAAACAGGTGTGTGTTTTTTAAGGGCAGGACAGCTGTCAGCAACACATCCAATATCATCACACTGATTGGAGTCAAGGTTGGCTCACTCCTGGCTCCAGTTAGCTCTGGGAGAAGTCATTAAGCTAGGGCCTCACATACTTTTTCCTCCCTGCACTGTGAATGTTTACATGTTATGTGCAATTAAACCATGGCAACATCTAATGTTTGTGTAGTATTATGTTCAGCAGACTGTGTTCTTCTATTGTTGTGACTTAGATGCCGTTCAGAGCACATTTTGTGCCCAATTCATGCAAAACTCCACATAATCCCAAGGGGTTCACATACTTTTTCTTGCAACTGTAAGTACCTGTAATAAATATTGTGCTTAGGTACTGTCATACAAACATGAAAACGTCATGTTCTAAAATATTGTGCTGGTCAAAACAAAAATAAAATCATGATTTTATCATCCATGGGATCGAAAGAGCACCATCCAGTAAAGGAAATACATATTTGATCCCCTGTTGATTTTGAATGTTTGCCCCCTCACAAAGAAATGATCAGTCTAAAATTCGAATGGTAGATATATTGTAGCACTGAGAGACAGAATAGCACCAAAAAATTCAAAAGAAATGCATGTCTAATAAATGATGCACTGATTTGCATGTTCATGAGGGAATTAAGTATTTGATCCTGTGCACAAAACATGCTAACTTGCCGACCTCCTCCACTCTTCCTACCACTCCATCCCCCACAGCTATCTCCTCCTGTGCCACCATCCCCTCCCTCCTAGATTGTAAGCTTGAAAGAGCAGGGCCCTCGATCCCCTCATGTTTTGCATTGTATTGGTATTGTTCTGTCACATGTTCTGTCCCCCTTTGTAATGTACAGCGCTGAGCGAACTATTGGCGCTTTATAAATACTGAATAATAATAATAATAATAATAATTTAGTACTTGGTAGCAAATCCCTTGTTGGCAATCACAGAGGTCAGGCGTTTCCTGTAGTTGGCCACCAGGTTTGCACACATCTCAGGAGGGATTTTGGCCCACTCCTCTTGGCAGATCCTCTCCAAGGCATTAAATATTGGTATCTGACATTTGGCAACTCGAACTTTCAGCTCCCTCCACAAATTTTCAATCGAATTAAGGTCTGGAGACATGCTAGGTCACTCTAGGACGGGTGTCGGCAACCCGCGGCTCCAGAGCCGCATGCGGCTCTTTCTCACCTTTGCTGCGGCTCCGGAGCACACTGCCCACCAGGTGACAGGCAATAGGGTTGCCGTAGCTCAGTGGTCGGCAAGCCGCGGCTCTTCTAACCTCCCTGGCGGTTTTCCCGAGTGTAGCTCGTGGTAGAATTTCTATACCACGAGCTACACTCGGGCTTACCATGCGGCACTGATCTGGGGGTCCCTGCAGCACTTACCTTGTCCTTCGTTCCCGCGATGTGTCCCCTGCAGCGTCCCCGGCCATCTCCTCTGGCCGATGCCGGCATCCGGCTTCTGTGTTCCAGTCCCCGTGACGTCGGGACGTACGGGCGCCGCCGGCGGGCGGGAAATTTAAAAAATTTAAAAAATGTCTTTTTTTTTTTTTTTTCAATTTTCAATAGTAAAACATTGCTGTTTCATCCCATTTCACATACATTTTGTCCCTAGTGCTTTGTCCTGTGCCCTGCCTGCATTTTGTCTGTTCTTTCTGCCTGGAAACTTAGAAAAGTCCATGGCGTCCAAAAAGCGTCCCTTTAGGTCAAAAGCGGTTTTAGACCGGCTAGAGAACAGCGATAGTAAATCAGAACCACTTGCAGAATTGAGTGATGATTTGTGGGGAAATTTTCCTAAAAATTACAGCCTACAATAAAAAACTATTTCCATGCGAAAAAATGGTACCGCTTTCAGCACAAAAAATCGGAAGGAATCATACCGCCAGGGAGGTTAATGCAGCTCTTCTGTGTGCCGGGCGCCCGCTCCCCTCCCTCCTCTCGGGCGGCCGCCCCAAAAGTCAGGACTCTGCAGCTAGCCTAGCAATGGGCAAACTACGGCCCGGCGGACCTTATAATCCGGCCCGCGGAGCGTGGCAAACATTGGCTGTCAGGATGTAGGCGGGGCAGCGTGACGAACTCCTCTCCTCTCACAGTCCGCCCTGAAGACCAGAACTGCGCGGGAACACGGCGAGAGGAACGCGCGGAGTACAGGTAAGTGAATTGACACAATATGGGAATGAATTACTATAGGGGGGATGAATTACTATAGGGGGGATGAATTACTATATGGGGGATGAATTACTATAGGGGGGATGAATTACTATATGGGGGATGTATTTTCAGTTTTAAAAATGTGGCTCTCAAAATAAAATTTAATCGTGGTTTTGGCGAGATTTGGCTCAGTTGAAAAGGTTGCCCACCACTGACCTAAGGCTATGATTGTGATTATGACGATACACTGTGGTCCTGATTAACCCTTTGCTTACTGGGCCCTTAAACCCCCTTCATGACCAGAGCGCTTTTTGCAATATATGCAGTGTCGGATTTGTTTTAAATGTTGCAATGGTTTTGCGGCTCCCAGTCTTTTTTTCCCCTCTCGGAAACGGGTCCAAGTGGCTCTTTATGTCTTAAAGGTTGCAGACCCCTGCTCTAGGACCTTATTGTGCTTCTTCTTCAGCCACTCCTTTGTTGCCTTGTTAGATATGCATTTCTTTTGAATTTTTTGTTGCTATTCTGTCTCTCAGTGTTACAATACACCTACCATTCGATTTTTAGACTGATCATTTCTTTGTGAGTGGGCAAACATTCAAAATTTGCAGGTGATCAAATACTTATTTCCTTCACTGTATATCATACTAACAAAAACTGTGTAAGCATGCCATTATCTTTCTCTGTCTATAGTAGCTGGAACTTCCTGTGTTGACAGAGACATCCGATCTATGATGTATACGTGCAGTCATATCCTTGTCTTTTGTTGCTGCCTCTCTGGGAAAAAAGTGGTGCTTTTACATGATTGAATTTATAGCTAGTGTGAAATATAGGCTTAAGGCATATTGATGCCAGTTAGCCACTTCCCAGAGTTGATATGATCACAGTCTGACCTGTACATTCAGGAACATTAAGGAGAACCTGTCATCAACTTAAAACACAGAAAATGCAAGTATTTTGAAGCTTACTTCTATTGTTTTCTATGCCAATAACAGCCTGCTTTATTGGCTTGCGACAGGGCCAGATTAATTATTGTAGGGGTTATTGGTGCTGCAACTCCAGTCCTCTACCCTGATATAGGCCCAGGCCCAGCTGCCCAAAAAGAACAGGCCATGTGCAGAAAGTAATGGGTCTACAGCAGGGATGTAGATAAGAGGGGGAGTCAGGGGGATCTGAACTCCCCCTCCCCAGAGCAGAGTTACCGACCATCCATTATAGCGAGTGTTTGTGAAAAACCAGGGCGTTTGCTCCCATCCGTAACTGTCAATGGACAGGAGCACTGCACATTTGCTGCTCTGATATCAGCTGATTTCTGATCAGCTGTACTTGGAACACTGGCAGTCTGTATCTCCCCTCTCCTTCCTCATTCCAGGCTGCTTCAGTTTACATCTCTCCATGTACATCTCAGGCCATCTCGGCTTGCTCAGGCAGACCACTGGTCCAGGTGCGCACTGTGGGCTGACAGCATAGCACTTGGCGGCTTTTCCACCAATTTGAAATAGATTGCAAGGAGGTGGTGTGGGAGGAGAGGAGGATCTTGCCTTCAGTGCCCTCGCTTGCACTGGATAATTTTCTGTTACAGAGGTCTGTGCCTGATAGCTCCATGTTACAGAGAGACTGCCCTGCCATCTGCCGACAGGAGTCTGTAGTGGGTCACGGATGTAAAGGGGGAGTAGGGACCCTAAGGTAAGTGGGAGCACTGATATAAAAAGGTTCCCCCTTATATCAGTGTTCTCACTCTCCTTCTTGGTCAGTGTCCCCCCTTACCATAGTGTATTCACGTTGTGGATGCTAATGTTGTAAGGAAGGAGCTCTGGTGACCAGAGATTCCCTTACCTCAGAGTTCCCATTTAACTGCAGAGTTTGCAGTGTTTCCCTTTATATCAGGGTCTGCAGAGTTCCCCTTTGCCCTGTATGGGCAAACTCTGCCGATTATGTTGTAAACGGGAACTCTGGAGACTCTTATGTATGGGGGGGATGCTAATGTAGGGGGGGGGAAACTGCAGACTATCATGTAAGAGGAACTCTGCAGACTCTAATGTAAAGGGGAACTCTGCAGACATTGATGTAAGGGGGATCTCTGCAGACTTTGATATAAGAGGGAACTCTAATGTAAGGGGGGTGTTCGGGTGACCAGAGAACCCCCTACATCAGAGTTCTTCTTTTCACTGGAGTTCACAGTGTTCCCCCTTACATCACGGTTTGCAGAGTTCTGTAAGGGGGAACCCTGCAGGTTCTGATATAAATGGGGAACTTTTGGATTCTGATGTAAGGGGGGCTCTGGGAACTCTGATGTAAAGGAGAACAATGTGGACTCTGATGTAAGGGGGAACTCTGTGGACTTTCCATAAAAAGGCCCAGCAAAATCCTCAGCACCAAACCCATGATGCTCTTAATCCAGCCCTGTGCATATGTGATGTCGTCCAGTGCATGGCACTGGTGAGTGATGTCGTCCAGTGCTGACCAATAAAGAGGCCCAAAGACCGGCACTCAGAAGAAGATGTTGGCGCTGACAAAGGACCGTGGGATAGGGGAGTATTCACCCTTTCTTTCTACTCTAACTACTTGTCTGCAGTTGGGCTTTTTAATACTTGCAACATATAGCAGTTATCCAAAGAAATACAGAACATCTATTCACTATTTTAAAGTGGAACTAAAGACCACAAAATTTCACCCTTGCTCCAGTGATGTGTCCTCTGCAAGTTCACTGGGCAGCAGCAACAGCTGCTCCCTGGATTCATCTGGATGCCAAGTCTTTGGTTGTCTTTATTGACTGATGGGGGGTGATGTAACTCCCATGCCTGCGCTAGAGAGTTCATTCATTCCAGCATCGAGGTGTATCAAGAATGTACACCTAGCTATGCATATACAGTATTTTTTTTCTGTCTGTGTTCCAGAGTCACAACAGGAAGTAAGAAGAAATCCCCCAAAGTGAGGGGAAGACCCCATTAAGACAGTTTGCACCAAAACAGGTGTCAGCATTAGATTTCCCCTCATCTTTTTGTTCTAGTAAGGGTGAAGCTCCCTAGTGGGAGCGCACCGCAATAAAAACTTGACAAAGTCTAACCCTTCCTCACTCTATCCAAACCTTAAAAAGAGAAAGTTTTCCTTTACATAATCTTCAAAGTAAATTGTATAATCAAGCCAAGTGTCACATATGTGTTCATGTAAAGCTGATCTAAAATCCAAGATACTTGATACTCTGCTGCAACTTTCTCATGCCAGTGGTAGCATTTTCTCTCTGGTGTCTTCTGTTTGACAGTCTTTGGCCCGCTTGATTGACTGCTGTCAGATGACGTCACTCCTGCGTATGTGCAGGAATGTGGTTATTGTGGCACACAGAATATTGTGAGCAGGCAGGTAGGTTCATTTTATTGCAGAAGAGACACTGAGATATTGCATGTGTCTTCTGCAATAAAGAGCCTGACTGCTCACAATTTCTTCTATTTAGACTTTAGTTCCATTTTACATGGAAGCTCTCTGAGCAAGGTGTAAATGTAACAATTACAGGCTTTTTTTGCTTTCCAAATCAATCACAGTACTTGCTGACTAGGTCATCATCTTCTATTCTTAGAGACACTGGGTTTGGCTGATTTGTGTCTATTCTGTCTGCCAAAACAGGGGCTCAGTGTATATACAACATACCAATGGCACAGCCAATACAGAAATTATAAACATATGATTTTTACTGCTATGCTTTTGAGCAATTTTAGTTTGCACACCTTATGACCTTAAGATACAGACCACGCAATTTCACAATTATATGCTGCTCTCTTTCTCCAGCTCATCAAGACAGCTGATTTAGATCCTCGGCACAATTACCTTTTGGGATTTCACCCTCATGGAGTCCTAGTCGCTGGAGCTTTTGGAAATTTCTGCACAAATTATACTGGGTTTAAGGAGCTTTTCCCAGGCATGACCCCTCACCTGCACATCCTTCCCTTCTGGTTCCGCTGTCCCTTCTTCCGAGAGTATATCATGAGTGTTGGTCAGTAAAAGGACCTTTTCTACATTGTAAAATGTTGTTTCTTGTTGGTATTTTGAGAAAATGGTGCAGTATGCATAGGTAGATAATGATGTCCTGTCATGCAATCTCCTCTGCTTTGTGTCTCACTATGCTATGTGGCTATGCTCACAAATATTAATACTATAGAATAGCACTCATTGCGTGGAATTTACTAAGACTGGAAAAGACAGAACCTGGAGCAGTTATGCATGGCAACCAATCAGCTTCTGGCTTTCATTTTCAAAGCTTAACTGAACAACCTGAAGTTAAATGCTGATTGGTTACTATACAAAGCTGCTCCAGATTATGACTGCTCTAGTTTTAGTAAATTCTCACCATCAGGTGTGGTGCCTGCACTGGTATGGTTCACAAATTAAGAAGAAATGAGAAAAAACCAAGAGAAAAACAATGGCACCACTATCAAATTATTTTTTTAGAGAAACATTATTCTTTGCTCATCATAAATTGCCTTGCTATGGATATTCCTTTGACTACCTACATTTGTAAACAAATTGTTAATCAAAAATATAAATTTGACAAAATACATTTTCAAAAGAGGAAATGCCCTGTTAAGTTTTATACAATTTGAAAAGTATGGAATTACTTTCTGTTTTTACCAGTGACCTTAACTGAAATGTATTCAAGAGTAAAGCAGCACAAATAGCACCTTGCTTACCTCCATTCTAACGGCCCAGGTCTCTCGCCGGTGCTGGCATCTTTTCCTGGTTGCCAGCCCTAAAAAAATCTCCATTGGCTGGCACAGGATGACATAACATGAATCAGTCATTCTGGAACACAGGGAACATGCCAGCAATGTGCCTGATCTGCGCATGTGCAGCTCAGTTTACATGCTGCAGAAGACTATACACAGGCAAGTAGGTGTCTTTTGTTGCAGAAGAGACATTGTATGTCTCTTCTGAGACAATAGCCTGCCCACTCATTTTGATAAAAAAATGCCTTCAGTTCCATTTTAACTGTGTACTAGGGTTTGTGATGTGCTAGGAGAGAGAAAAGGTGGGAGAAGCAGGAGTTTGGTGAAAATGACGATTTATGATCTCATGTTATCATTGCTATTTGACTCTGTATATGTAGCCCTCAGGGGTGGACTGACCATTTGGAAACTCGGGCACTGCTCGAGGGCCCAGGGTCAGTAGGAGGTCCCATGAGATGCCCCTGGTACCTTTTTCATAGGCTTTTTTGAGTTTGGGCAAGGACACAGGGGCCCCATGATCCCCTATTGCCCAGGGGCCCCATGATCCCCTATTGCCCAGGGGCCCCATGAATTGTCAGTCCGCCCCTGATAGCCCTCTAACAGATTGATACCTGTAAACCTTAACACCATATATATGATGAGCTGGACTAAAAATACTACTCTATATACACATGCAAAACTTTAGGACTTTCAATATTTTACAAATGTTTAAAAAGCATTTAAAAGAAAAAAGAGCCATTGCAGAGAGGTAGAGGCTGGCTTTCAGATCTTGTGACCACTGTGACTGGCTGTCACAGGAAGTCCCTGATCACAAGTATACATCAGAGCTGCCTTGTGATATTTTGCTTAATGTGCTGGGAGCGCACAATGAGCATTCTCTCAGCACAGAAAAGTCATTCCGCATGGACACATGTATGCAGCTACTTGGTGCTAGAGCCCATCTGCCCAGTGTCCGCATATATGCATACTGCAGAGCAATACAAAGCAGCATGTCAGTGCTGACAGGGGAGAGATCGGTGTTGTTTACACACACACCTCTCCCCTTTCACTGTTCTTCGACGAACGTCGGCTGGGAATCTCCATCTAGGACCCAGTAATCGACAGCTATATCCGCCAATGGCAGCGCACCACCCCCCAGGAAATACAAAATCACGTATATATGCGTAATTTTGTGCAGCCCTGTAGCAGTAGTTGTGCTATAGAGTGGATAAAACTCTGGATCATTGACATGCTACTTTGGTTTAAGTTATGGTCACAGAGGAAATTTAAGACTTTGTTAATGGAACCTTTTTGTATTTACAGAGAACCGATCTTCCAACTTAAGACCTTTTAAGTCCAAGAAAGTTTAGCTGCATTATTTGACTTTTAAATTATACTGAAATATATTTTTGTCACCTTGTACTGGTGAGAGCTATGTTGACTAATATAGATCTATGCAAAATGAAATTAAAGTATTACTAAACCCAGGACCCCTCATTCACTATATCTGGTCTCCCACAGTACACAGACCATAGAAATGCAACTATTTTAGTAAATATAAACTGCTAAATACCTCTTCTCATCAGTAGTATATAGCAGTCTTGTCACTTCTATCAGTGTCCAGCAGAGCACTGGTTAAAGCTTGTGGGAGGAGTTTTCTGTAGGAGGATGCAGAACCTCTGTCTGGGCAGTGCTGGTTGGCCCTGTGCTGATCACATGCACTCTCCCAAGAAAACAAAAAACCCTCTCTAGCAATACACACAAATTGAGCATGCGCAGTGTCTCCACATGATATGTCTTATCAGGAGATAAAAGGGAGACACTGGAAAAAGGAGAGGATCAGAGAGGTCAGGATCAAACAGCATTTTTACACAATGCAGAGGATTAAGCCCATAGGATCCAAAGTGAATATAATAAGCATGCTTTACTGCATATATAGACTCATTTTACTGTTGTGGGTTTAGTAACACTTTAATAGCTCTATATTGCCAAATGTATCATAAAAGGAAAGATTTTCAAGGCTCTGCCACTATCACTAAATCAATAAACCAGTTTATTGTTCAAAAAACCAGTTTATTGTTCAAAGAAGCTGGGTAATTACACAGCTTAAATTACACTAAAGGCTCCATGCATACTAGCGTTTTTTTAAGCTCCTAGAAGCTGTTATTAGCATTTTTTCTGCTCCTGGAAGCTAAATAGTGTTATCCTATGTGTTCATGCACACTACTTTAGGCTATCAGCTTTTTTTGAGCTTCAGCATCTAGGAGCAGAATAAAATTGTTTTTGTAGAGCGTTTCTCCAGCAGAAAAGAACGCTAAATGCTGATAAATGCTACTAAAATGCTCCTAACCGCTTTCTTCTAGCTTTTTTTTTTTTTTTATATATACATACTCTGTAAAAAACGCTAATAAAATGCTAACACTCCTAAATGCTTCCAAATGCTACTAAAAAACACTATTACCTGAGTTTTTTTTATCCAGCATTTGTTCCAGCACGTTTTGAGCTTAAAAAACGCTGGTGTGCATGGAGTCTTAATATACAAATACAATATACAAAAGCTGAAAGTTAGGCTACGTTCACACTAGCGTTGTGTGCAGGCGGCAGAGAGGCGTTTGAAAAGCATTTTTACCGCTTCCCAAATGCCTCTGCCAATCCTGCACATTACAGCACATGGTGCTGTTCTAACGGGAGCGTTTGCGGCGCGTCGCGGCAAAACGGACGCCTCTGGTCGAGTCAGGAGGCTTTGAAGCCTCCTATTCTCGTCTATGGTGCCGGTCCGCAAACGCCCAGCCAGCGTTTGCGGTGCGGTTGTGACGCGGTTGCGGGGCGTTTGCGGAGCGGTAACACCACTCAAACTGCATTATAGGCGTTTGTGGGGCGTTATTAATGCTCGGCAAATGCCTAGCAACCGTCGCTAAACCGCGCATGCGGCGTTTGCGGAGCGTTAAAAAACGCTCCGCAAACGCCGGACGAACGCTTGCCAAACGCTATAGGGGCGTTTGGCAAGCGTTGGTAAAACAGCCAAGTGTGAACGAGCCCTAAGAGTGGAATCTAAACATCTATATTAGAAATGTATTCTACAAGTATTAGAAGGAAAGCATATACGATAATGAAAAGCAGGAAGGCTGCAGTAGATCTCCTCCAGATGCATATAGCAGTATCAGCCTTATTGCTATGTGTACTTGAAGGTATACACCCGACTCTTATATTTTGAACATATGGAACAAGGGTAGCGATGGGGGTGAGCCCAACCCCTTACATGGTAAGAAAAGACCTCTAAAGCAGGTTACATCCAGCCGGCTGTGAAGGTGGGCCTAATCCCTCTATGGAAGAGTAAGTCCATTTACACCTGGCCACCCATAGAGCAGAGCGGCCTCTGTCCATGCCCACTCTCCATAAACTGAGCGGATATGGACTTGTCATCTGCCCGCTGTGCTCTGATCAGCTAGGGATCCCCTGCCAATCCTAACAGAGTCCACCCTATGTTAAAGGGGCCTTAAAACGGAAACAAAAAAGAGAAACCAAAAAGTAGGGAAGTTGGGGAGTGGGAGTGCTGGGAGATTATTGAATCTTGATGTGTAGTTTGTGTGTTGTTCACAGGTCTAGTATCATCTTCTAAGAAGAGTGTCACACATGTCCTGAGCAAACCGCAGGGTGGAAATGCTGCTGTCATAGTGATTGGGGGAGCTGAGGAGTCATTGGATGCTCATCCTGGAAATCTAACACTCCATATCCTGAAGAGGAAAGGATTCATCAAAGTGGCATTGAAGAGAGGGTGGGCTCCTTTAAGAGTGATGTTCAATAATTGAACTTGTGAACACTGGATCATATAATCAATTCTTATGCTGCACTGAATTTGGTACTGCTTATTAATTAGTATGTAGGTGGAAATGACACCTAACTGAGTTATTACACACTGGTTGAGCTTTACTGCTCCAACACTTCAAGTCTATGACGTGGCCAGCTCAGGGGAAACAATGCACTTCAATATGGAAGAGCAAGATTGTAAAAATGTATATCAGAAATTTATTTTAAATAAACGCTGCAGTAATAGCTACAGATATACAGTCATGGTCAAAAATATTGGCACCCCTGCATTTCTGTCAGATAATGCACCACTTCGCCCAGAAAATTGTTGCAATTACAAATGTTTAGGCATTCTCATGTTTATTTCTATTGTTTGTATTGGTATGATACAAAAAGTGGAGAAACAAAAAGCTAAATCTGACACATTCCACGAAAAAAAACCCTAAAAATGGACTGGTCAAAATTATTAGCACCTTCTCAAAATTGTAAGAAGTCTATTGCATTTTTAATTTCATGATGCTCCTGTAATTTATACTTACACTCGCCTGTATCAATTAACAGATCTTAACCACTTCCTGATCGCTCAATAGCAGAAATACTGCTACAGGGCGGCACGGGTGCACAAAATCATGTGTATATATACGTGATTTTGAATTTCCGGGTAGGGGGCACGTGCACCCTATCAGTGCCGCCATTTGCGGCCGCAGCTGTCAATTACCGGGTCCCGGACGGTGATTACCAAGCATCTCCAACGGGGAGGAGGACTGTTTTGTTTACCAACAGTTTTCCTCCTTGTCAGCTCGGGTACACTGCGCTGGAATGTCTGAGCAGAACACAGCCATCCAGAACAGTGTGATTACAGTGAAACACACTGACACCGCACCCTAGTAAAACAATCCCTGCGCACAGTTAACCCTTTGATTGCCCCTCATGTTAACCCCTTCCTGCCCAGTGCCATTAATACAGTGTTAGTGCTTTTTGTTTTGCACTGATCACTGTATTGGTGTCACTGGGGATGTCAGTGACACCAAGTCAGTTCCCCTCAGTGTCAGCCACAGTCCCGCTATAAGTCAGTAATCACTGCCATTACTAGTAAAAAAAATAATTCTAGTATCTATACCGCCATTTGTAAACGCTATAACTTTCACGTAAACCAATTAATTTACACGTATTGGAATTTTTTTAGCAAAGACATGTAGCAGAATACATTTTGGCCTACATTTATGACGAAATTTGATTTTTAAAATTTTTTTAAAGTCAAAAATATTGTTTTTTTTCTCAAAATTGTCGGTCTTTTTTTTATTTATAGCACAAAAAATAAAAACCACACAGGCAATCAAATGCCACCAAAAGAAAGCTCAATTAGTGGGAAAAAAGGACATAAATTTCATTTGGGTGCAGCATTGCATGATCGTGCAATTGTCAGTTAAAGTAACGCAGCACCGTAATGCAAAAAATGGCCTGGTCAGGAAGGGGGGGTAAATCCTCAATAGGGCAAGTGGTTAATGCACCTGTGCCCGATGTGCGAAAAATATTCAAGAAGTTTACAGCCAATGGCACTGTAGCTAATCTCCCTGGATGTGGACGAACAAGAAAAATGTTATCAAAGATTGCAACAAAGGATTGTTGGAATGGTGGATAAAGAACCTCGATCAACTTCCAGACAAATTCAAGCTGACCTTCACGCACAGGGTCCAACTGTGTCAGTTCGCACTATACTTCACAATCTGAATGAAAAGGGACGCTATGGTAATGATTCCCAGGAGGACCCCACTGCTGACACAAAAACATAACAAAGCCAGATTGGAGTTTGCCAAAACTCGAGGAACCTGAGGAAGCCAAAACCTGGGAGGATGTGGCGAAACAAAAATAACAGCTTTTTGGTAAAGCCCATCATTCTACTGTTTACAGAAAAAGAAATGAGGCCTTTAAAGAAAAGAATACAGTCCCTATAGTCAAACATGGTGGAAGTTCACTGATGTTTTGGGGTTGCTTTGCTGCTTCAGGCACTGGATGCCTTGACTGTGTGAAATCTGAAGAATACCAAAGAATTCTGGGGTGTAATGCAAGGCCTGGTGTCAGAACGTTGGGTCTCCATCAGAGGTCATGGGCCTTACAGCAGGACAGTGACCCAAAGTACAGGTCAAAAATCACCCAGAAATGGTTTCAGGCAAAGCGTGTACTGAACTGGTTAGCAATGAGTCCAGATCTCAATCCCATAGAACACATGCGGAGAGATCTCAATACAGCAGTTTAGAAAAGGAACTCTTCAAATCTGAGAGACCTGGAGCAGTTGGTGAAAAAAAATTGGGGTGTAAGAAACTTTCTTACAGGAAACAATTGATTTCAGTTGTTTTTTATTAAGGGGTGTGTTACCAAATATTAAATTGAGAGTGCCAATAATTTTGTCCAGTCCAGTTTTGGGGGTTTTGCATGGAATGTGTCAGATTTGGCTTTTTGTTTTTCAACTTTTTTGTGTGGGTGGCAATCTACTTGGCCATGACTGTATGCTACACTCAACTTTCCTATCTTAAGGACTTATTTACAGCCTGACTCTTGTCAGCCTGTCATTAACTTGTACATGCTTCCAAGCCATGGCTGTCCGCAAACACTTGGGCTCCTGGCGACAGATATCTGCAATATATCTGCCATGCCATTGCTGATTTGGACATGTGAACGAGGGCTAGCTCTTCACATGGGACAGAATATGTGCTGAAAATAGCTAATATGTAAGCCAGGAGGAACATCTATTTGTCCGCTCACTGAGCACAAATCCTATATGCCAACTGAAACCAAACTTTTTTTTAAGCTGTAGTAAAATAGGAAGAAATAAAAAAAAAAGGGTTTTAAATCAACAGAAGTGCCCAAAGTATGCTGTTCTTTTAAACACCAAATATACAACACCAAGGGTTCCAAATCACAATATAAATAAAAAAGGAATGCGCTAAATAAATAAATAATCAAATATAGAGTGAGCACAGTAAATTCAAAATACATATTGTGAATACACATAATAGATATAAATGTCCACGTAATCTGTGTAAAATAAAAAACACCATAAATGATAATCAATATTGAAGTGCAGTCTTCAAACGATAACACTGTGATTAAATCCATCACCAAATGAATTGAACAAACTCACCAGAGCTATATGCTGATCAAATTATAAATCAGCATAAGCGCTATTGCTCTGGGAGTGATGATCTCTGGAGAATTCCAAGGTCTGGGAGCAATGGTCTGCAGTAAGCCAATCAGCACAGATGGAAAAAAAACCCTCAATCATATGGTCATCATCTCTCCATAGAATGTGGCAAGACTCTGGAAATTAAGAAAGGACATGATGGTGCAGTACTGTTTAAAACCATACATAACCATAACCATAAAACAGGATGTACACTCACAAGAAAGGTGTGTGAGCTGACACCAGCAGTAACAGCCTCAGAAAACCACGAGACAAGCCCCGCTCACCGTGGATCAAACAGCCGACAGTCTCAGGGAATGTCTTGATGTCACATCCATTAAGCCCACCCTACGCGTTTCATCATTCGACGTCCCTCACAGAGCTCCGTGAGGCCGTCAAATGACGAAAGCGCGTAGGGCGGGGCTTAATGGATGTGACATCTAGATGTTCCGTGAGTGTACATTCTGTTTTAAATAAAGTGTATGGTTTTAAAGGTACTGCACCATCATGTCCTTTCTTAATTTCCCGAGTCTTGCCACATTCTATGGAGAGATGATGACCATATGATTGAGGGGTTTTTTCCATCTGTGCTGATTGGCTTACTGTAGACCATTGCTCCCAGACCTTGGAATTCTCTACAGATCATCACTTCCAGAGCAATAGCACTTATGCTGATTTATAATTTGATCAGCATATAGCTCTGGTGAGTTTATTCAATTCATTTGGTGGTGGATTTAATCACGGTCTTATCGTTTGAAGACTGCACTTCAATATTGATTATCATTTATAGTGTTTGCATTTTACACAGATTACGTGGACATTTATATTTTTTATGTGTATTCACAATATTTATTTTGAATTTACTGTGCTCACTCTATATTTGATTATTTTTTATTTATTTAGCGCATTCCATTTTTATTTATGTTATGTACCTTTTTGGGTTAGGTTTGCAGCTTGAGTTGTTTTGATTTGGCGCTTTTCTTATAATTATTTTTTTTCCAAATCACAATACCTAAATTAATAAAAACATGCTAAATATCATGCTCCTCACAAAATGAGTATAGGAAGAATAGAGCCCCTGGAAAATGAGAGTTTCAGTATTGTGTGGCCGTAATTCCTTCAAAGCCCATCAGCAGTGACTAAATGACCAATGTCTAGCATGTGGCACATCCTTTTAGTGACTAAATGGAAAACAGAAAAATGGGATGTTTCCTTTTGTTTTTGTAATGTTTATTGAAGACCATTTGTTGTCATAGTCATGCAGCCTGACAGAAAATGTCTATATATTCGGGAACTTGCATAATGCCATTTTTTCTGTTCTAGCAGTTTTACAAGTTGACTGTTCAGTCCAAAAGGCCCCAGAATTAGACCCAGTGTTCTCCCTAGTCAGATATCAGTAACAGACCTAGTTACATACACTCCTCTTTTCTTCTGCAAAACAAGTCTGTGTGAGGACACTTGTGCTGAGGGGTGTGACTATTACTCAACACTGCCAGCACAGAACTCTGAAGAGAAGGGTGGGAAGCAGCATTTTTACTAACAGAAAAAGTTAATGTATCCCTAGACAAAAATCAGTCAGAAATCATAACCTGTATGGGTTGAGGTCTATATAACGAAACAAAAACTTGGTAGACTTTATGCTTTAATATACGTCTTGTGCTTTTTAGTCTTCTATGGAAAGTCAAAGAGAGTAGCCTGACTGCTTTGACTGGTCACATACCAAACTAATAATAATGAATGACTATATAATTTTTTTTCCAGTGGAGGGGGGCAAGCATTAAACATGTAGAGATCAAATTCACCAAGCAATAATTCTCCACTTCTGTGTGGGTTCATGTGATTCAACTGCTTCCAAGATCCTGACGAGATTTTCCTGGTGGAGGTCCCGTCTCTGCCCCCCACATTGAGGACACTACAGCGTGTCATGTCTGGAGGTCCAATCTCTGACACGTTTCCTCCCTCCCCCCATTGAGGATACGATAGGGTGTTCTGTTCCTCCAAAATACTCCAGAACACTAAACACATACAGAAACCAGCATGGAAGTGGTAACAGCCTATGTATTGGCACAATGGACATGGGGAGTGGATCTTTGGTAGCAAAGTCTCAAGATCTTATAGGACAATAACCCTGCAACTTAAACAGAGAATCTGTAAATAATTTTGGGCTTTGGTTGTCCTATTGAAATATGTATGCTAACATAAATTAGATGTCCTCTTGTAGTCTAATGTATAATCAGGGATTTTTCATGAGCAGGTGCTTGTTAATATTTAATTATTTTCTTTTTTCTTACAGAGCCCATTTGGTGCCAGTATTCTCTTTTGGGGAGAATGAACTGTTTCTTCAAGTGTCCAATCCTAAAGGGTCTGTGCTGCGAATTATACAAGAGAAGCTGCAGAAGATGATGGGCTTTGCTCTACCACTATTTCATGCCCGCGGCATCTTCCAATATAGCTTTGGACTGATGCCATATAGAATGCCTATCCACACTGTTGGTAAGTTGTAAGGATTTAAGAAATTAATGCTAAGAAAATGGAGAAGACCACTACCATCTGCATGTATTCTCATTACTAATATGTAGAAATTAGATTAGGTAGACAGAGAAGGGTTGTGTGTCTCATCAGCTGACTTTAGAAAAAAATGTTTTTCCATGCTACCTTTTGAGTGCCAGGATGCTAGAACAAATTCGACTCAATCTGCTTCTGGCACACTAGCCATGGCATCAGGGCCTCTCAGTGGTGGACTTTGTTTTATCTCAGACATACAGTCCCATGATCTCCCAAACACAAAGAGTTCTTTTATGGCAGAATGTTTGTACTTTTAAGGAGATACAAGCAGGAGCTGTCTGCCAACTTCTCTTTTCTTTAGCAAAATAATCAAATGTTCTGTAGCTGTTCTTGCAGGTGGGTTTCAGGCTGGCTTCCGTTTCTTCATGATTGTACATTATAATTCTTCAAAACCTTGGGAATACCAATCTTGCTAGTGTTCTCCCAGGCAACACCCCAGCTTGGGTTGACTGCCCATATCGGCAAGGTCTTACGATGTGCTCTTTAAAGCAGCCTTTATGGTGTGTTCAGATGATTACTGGGACCTGCCATGATCCTTTCATGGTGTTAGTGATGCAAGTGTAGTGAAATACTTGTTCCATTTTTCTTCTTCGAGAAGGGAAAGGATGCTGCTTGCTTGCACAGTGTACAAGCAGGTTACACCAGTCAGAATAGCTTATGGTTAGACGCATTCATTATTGCCCCCCTCAAGGAATCTCTAATTGGTCAGAAATGCATGGCCTGGTAAAAGCATTGCTAAGACAATATCTATACCTGTCCTAAGAGTGTGTCTTCAAACCTAATTTATTTATTTCAGTTTTGGCTTGCACAGAGAATATTTGCATCCTCATTGAGTTTTTTTTCAAATTACACTCAGTTGAATAGATATAACATGGAGGGACTGGTAATCTCTCCAAAGCAATTTAAGGAAATATCATGCCTGGAGGTAGGTTTTGAACAAAGACAGAAGGGCCTCTGAAACATTGCGTGCATTTTTTTATTTTTGAACAAGAGGGTGATATTTTGTTCTTCCATTAAGTGGATTATGAATGATTGGGCAAAAGGTAGCATGTATCTGAAGGTTGTCCTTTGTTTTTACAGTAGGCAAGCCCATCCCAGTGAAACAAACATCCAACCCCACTCAGGAAGAGATTGACGAGCTTCATCAGATCTACCTTAAGGCCCTCCAGGAACTGTTTGAGGAAAACAAGGCACAGTATGGCGTCCCTGAGCATAGATCCCTGATCTTTACATGACCTTCAAACACACGGCTCTTTTATAGGACTGGAACTAGTAGAACAGACCTGTGGTCCAACATATTAATAACAGAGTGGTATAGATGATTCATTGGACCTGTTATCTACACAATATCTCCAAATCGTTTTCACACAGTGTAATGTTTTATATTCGCACATTTACTTCTGAAGACAAAAACACTCCAGTGTTCACAAAGAACCAGTATCACGTGTCTCTTATCTTCTGCATCAGAAATGGAAATGCCTTATTGGCTTGCTGGCTGAATGAGCATAATGGCGTGTATAGTTTTATGAATGGATTTGTCAGCGTGTGTCCTATTATACACTGTATGTTAGGGCTATTTTATTTATCCTTCACTATTGCAATAAATAAATATATGGGTACTGGTGTTTTATTCCGTTTTAGTTGTATCGTTCCATGAAGGCCTACAGGTGGCAGCAAAACCAATGGCAAAAATAATTTCTATCAAAATGTACATTATCGTATAAAATGATATTATTATATTCATAGAATCTTTAAAAGTATATAAGTACAAAGTACATGTTATGTAGATTTTGTCACAGTTAAAGCCCATGAATAATCTACTTATCATTTCTGTCCAAATGAGAGACCTCATGTCAGACTTTATCAATAAAACACAAACAGAGCAGCAGTAAGGCACATTCAATCTTCAGTCACAGCCAACAATTAGTATTTTATCTGATTTATAATAAAATGAAAGCTATTTGAAATGGTGAATAAAAATAATCTTTATAGAGAAAGTCTATATGTATTCCAAAAAATATTTTAGTCTAAAAATTGTAATCAGTTAAACGCATTTAATTATAGTATTCAGTATATAATGTGTTTGTGTTTTTTTTCACAGTGTTAAACAATATCCTTAGTCTCCAGGAATAATCCATACACATTGACTACTAAATGGCCCTGTAGTCTAGTTTTCATGACATTTTTTCTGTGTCTCGGGCTATGACAAGCCTGAGTTCACACAGAGGAAACTGCATGCAATTTGGACAGGAATCACATTCCTGTTCAAATCGCATGCTAATCTTTGCGGTGCAATATGCCGCCATTAACACAAATCGCACCGCAAAGTATCAGTTAAGGTATCAGGAGTACGAGTACTCATGAAAATACTCAGTATCGGATCGGTAAATCCCTAGTTTAAAATCAGTTTATTTGAATGTTTCAAATGGTTTTCTTATTCCATCACTTCCCATAGATCTTCTCTTAGCATTCACTTCTTCTTGTAGGCCATCTCCAAAAAGCCTTCACTTCCTTGTTGCATTGCAAAAGAGGGTGTTATAGGGTGTGTTCAACACTTTGGACTGCACCTCCCTCATTACAATACTACCTTCCACCCACTTTCTATACAAACTGAATGTACTATCTCCTTTAGATCTCCCATAAGATATGTAGTGCAAGATCCTGCCTGATTTGATACAAATTGAATGGATGGTTAATGCGAGTCCTCCTATTCCATAGATCTGGTAAATGTAAAGGAAATTGTACAATGATTGTTCAATCAGATTGCATAGTGTATGGCCATCTTTATACAAGTACATAGGAGGGAGTGGACAGAGATACTCAGTTGTCAGGAACCATTCACATCTCCATTTAGCGAAAACTCACATTCCTACATGCGTTTTTTTTTTTTTTTACTGTTTTGGAGTATTTTCCCTTGGCATGCATAGGGCAGCCCAATCTCTTGAATGGGCTGCCCTACGCACAACAATCCCCCCAGAGAAGCTCCAGAACTTTTTTTGGGCAGAGCATGGTTCGTTACTGCCGTTTTTGGTGCATTTGTCGCATTTAGGATCTCCTTAATCGCTTCCCAACCGCGCTATAGCCGAAAGACGGCTACAGCACGATTGTCCTGTTCTGGGAGGGGGTCTATGGACGTCTTCCAAGATGCTTCCCCAGCAGGGTGCACCCAGCACTGTCCTACGGACACAACTGATCACGTGATTAGGTAAAAGTGGCCTTTTACCACGTGATCAGTTGTGTACAATGACACAGCAGATCAAATGTAAATACAGTTGTTGCCGGTTATTGACAGCACTTTCCTCACGCTGTCACAGTGCCGCCCAGCAATGCTGCCCAGCATCAGTGCCACCCAGCAGTGCCGCCTGTCATTGCTATCAGTCAGTGCCACCTCATCACTGCTGCCTATCAGTGCAGCCTCATCAATGCACATCAATGATGGAGACAAATTACTTGTTTGCTAAATTTTATAATAGAAACAAAGAAAACCTTTTTTTTTTTTCAAATTTTTTTCTCTTTTTGTTTACAGTGCATAAAATAAAAACTCCAATGGCGATTAGATACCACCAAAAGAAAGCTCTATTTATGTGAACAAAATTATCAAAATGTCATATGCGTAGTGTTGCAGGACTGCACAATTGTCATTCAAAGTGTGAGAGGTCTGAAAGCTGAAAATTGGCCTGACCAGGAAGGGGGTATAAGTGCCCGGCAGGCAAGTGGTTAACTCTCTCTCCTGGCTCTCATCCTACCTGTCACAACGCTCTTTCAGCGTTACCTATAAAGCTACCACCTCCCTCTCACTCCCCCTCTCTGTTGGGGTCCCTCAAGGCTCTGTCCTCGGGCCCCTTCTCTTCTCCATCTACACCTCCTCCCTTGGCCAACTCATACACTCTCACGGCTTCAACTACCACCTCTATGCCGACGACACACAAATCTATCTCTCAACCCCCCACCTCACCCCCTCAGTCTCCGCCCGAATCACAAGCCTACTGAATGACATATCAGACTGGATGTCGCTCCACTTCCTTAAACTGAACCTCTCCAAAACCGAGTTTCTTGTCTTCCCCCCAGCCCGGACACCACCCCCCATTGACTTCTCCATCACATCCAACAACGCCACCATCAAACCCCCCCCCCACAGGCCAGAGTACTTGGGTGTCATTCTGGACTCCAACCTATCCTTCCAGCCCCAAGTCCAATCTTTAACAAGCTCGTGCAGACTCCACCTCCGCAACATCGCCAAAATACGCACGTTCCTAACTCCAGAAACCACTAAACAGCTCATCCACTCCCTCATCATATCACGACTCGACTACTGCAACTCTCCCTTACTGGCCTGCCTCGCCGCTGGCTATCCCCGCTTCAGTCGATCCTGAATACGGCTGCCAGACTCATTCGTCTTTCCAACCGCTCCGTCTCCGCCACCCCCCCATTGCCAATCCCTCCACTGGCTTCCGATTGCCCAACGGATCAAATTCAAAATCCTAACGCTGACGTACAAAGCTGTCCACCATACTGCCCCGAACTACATCACTGACCTAATATCCAAGTACCACTCAGCACGCACACTCCGCTCCTCACAAGACTTCCTTCTCTCTAGTTCCCTGGCCTCCTCCTCCCATGCCCGCCTCCAGGACTTCTCCAGGGTGTCACCCATCCTCTGGAACTCCCTGCCCCAACCCATCAGATTATCACCTACTCTCCTCTCCTTTAGGCGCACCCTGAAAACCCATCTCTTCAGGGAAGCCAACCCCACACCCTGCTAACTTGCCGATCTCCTCCACTCTTCCTACCACTCCATTCCCCACAGCTATCTCCTCCTGTACCACTATCCCCTCCCTCCTAGATTGTAAGCTCGAAAGAGCAGGGCCCTCGAACCCCTCGTGTATCACATTGTATTGTTATTGTACTGTCACATGTTCTGTCCCCCTTTGTAATGTAAAGCGCTGAGCGAACTATTGGCGCTTTATAAATACTGTATAATAATAATAATAATGTCATGACAACACAAGCACGATGCACATTTGCAGAGTGTTCCTGAAACAAGCCAATTTCACTTTCAGGCCACATTCACACCTATTGTGGTTGGAGCGCACGTTTTTTTGGTCTCATTTTTCCTGCAACATGTATAGAGCAGCCCGTTGATTTCAATGTGTTGTTCTACACGTGGTAAATGAGCTCATGGACATTTTGGCATGTTGCGGTTTGCATTTTTTTTTACTGTATGTTTTCTGTTTTTTTTCACATGGCAAAATGTTTGCTTGTACATTTGGGATGCTATTAGCAAATTTATGGCCGAACGTGCCACTAGTTCATTTTAGGTATATAAAGATGGCCATACACTATACAATCTGACTGTACAATCTCCTTTAGATTTACCAAAACTATATAATAGGAGGACACACACCATCTATCCAATCTCTCTGTATCCAACCAGACAGCCCCTTGCACTACATAGTTGATGGTAGATCTAAAAGAGATTGTACAATCAGATTGTATAGTGTATGGTGAGCTGTACAGACATCCAGGACATACATCTCCTGTTTTCAATACTACAGCTCTGCTCCACATAGGCTGCTATGTGATTGCTCAGCTCCGCACACTCGTAAATGAACGATCTATGCAAGATGAAGGTAAGAAAAAAACAATGTCTTAGTTTTTAGTGAGGATGGTGATCATTGTATTAGATTTGTCTGCACCTGTGGAGGTGGGTCTGACCGATCTCCTGGAGTGGTGAAGGCAGTGACATGGGGGTGTTAATGCGGAACTATATTCACTTCCGATCCAGTGATGTACTATCCTGGAGCTCCCCGCCCAGCTGCTGACATCTTTGGGTGACCGGCTTCCGAGTCCCGAATGCCGGCTGCTGTCATTGGCCAGGCAGGGATGGCATCACTCCCGCGCACATGTGGGAGTTTTTATCGAATTTGTACAGTGAGCTGCACCTCCATGGCTCACTGTACAGTAGCGGACAGGCAGGTAGGTGGCTTCAATGTCAAAGAGACAAAGCATGTCTCTTCTGCATTAAAAATCCTGCCTGTCCACCCATTTTTAATTTTTTTTTTTTTACCTAAAGTTCCATTTTAATGAGGTCAGCTGGTGTACTACTTCCTGTGTCACACTGGTTTTCCCAGCCTAAGGCCCGTCTCCATAGATCAGAATGATGCCTAGGAAAAAACAATACCATATTTAAAATGCACTGTTCACTGTAAGGCACTGGACACCGCAATGCACTGTACACTGTAAGGCACTTTAGACTGCAATGCACTGTACACTAATGCACTGGACACTGCAATGCACTGTAGTCTATAAAAGCACTGTACTCTGATACACTGGACACCGCAATGCACTGTAGTCTATAAAAGCACTGTACTCTGTTACAATGGACACTGCAATGCACTGTACACTGATACACTGGACACCACAATGCACTGTACACTGATACACTGGACACCACAATGCACTGTACACTGATACAACTGGACACCACAATGCACTGTACACTGTAACACACTGGACACTGCAATGCACTGTACACTGATACACTGGACATTGCAATGCACTGTACCAGGGGCGGACTGACAACTCATGGGCCCCCGGGCAATAGGGGATCATGGGGCCCCTGTGTCCTTGCCCAAACTCAAAAAAGCCTATGAAAAGGTACCAGGGGCATCTCATGGGGCCCCCTACTGACCCCGGGCCCTCAGGCAGTGCCCGAGTTCCTAAATGGTCAGTCCGCCCCTGCACTGTATACTGATACACTGGACACCACAATGCACTGTACACTGATACACTGGACATTGCAATGCACTGTACACTGATACACTGGACACTGCAATGCACTGTACCTGGGGCTTGGTGTGATCACCTCTCCTGTTGCTCCTCTGGCTGCAGCAGGTGAAATCCGGTGCTTCCAGTAGCCTAGCTATTTGCCGGGCAACTGACAAAGGGATGGAGAGACAGCAGAGAGAAGGTACCTGGGAGACCGGGGAGAGGAGGAAGGAGCAGGAGCATCCAGGAGGAGGTAGGGGGGGGACACCAGTGGCCATGGCTGCACCTTAGGTGGCAGTGCACCCTAGTTGCCTAGTTTTTCTAGTTGTAGTGCCCTGGGGGCACTACACTCCATGGGACACACCCCCTCTACTTTCTCACTGGCTGTGATTGACAGCAGCCAGAGCCAATGGCTGCTGCTGCTGCTGTGTCTCAACCAATGAAAAGAGAGAGACCAGGGGGAACCAAGGCTCCCGTGCTCATTACTTGATCAGGATAGGGCTCAGGTAAGTATTAGGGGAGACTACGGAGGAAGGAGCACACTGAAGGTGTTTTCCCTTCTTGTGTAGAATGCATGAAGGTAAAAAACCTTCAACATTACAACCACTTTCACTTTCTGTCTCATAGCCAAACAGAATGGGAGAGGAAATCTGGTGACAACCCAAAAGGTTTTTTTGTTTTTTTTTTTTGCTCTTGCTTTCACTCTTGCCGATAAGGATAAACAGGACAAATAGGGCGGCTTTCTCTAATGGGGACACAGACAGCACTGACACTTGGGGCAGTATTAGTGCTGTCATAGGTCGCTGTAGACCATGGTGTTTGTATGTCACAGCTTGTCATTAGAGAAACATGGAGGCACCACAAATTAACCCCTTCTGAAAATTCTGAGCCTTTTTTTTTCAATGAATACTACTTTGACTTTCCTGATCTGCGTACTTATTCTAGGTCAGTGACTAATAATGTTGCCACCTTTTCCAGGAAAATATAGTGGCCTTATATCCATCCCATGTATAACCTTGGCAACAAATTCTATTTTTATTTATCAGGCCAGTAAAATACTAGCCAGGTGGCAAAGCTAGAGGCTCAAAGTACTGAAGCCAGTGCATTCCCATAACAGCCAGGCAACATGCATTTACAGAGGCTTATCTGCAGTGGCAGCCAATGTATTTTTCTTATGATAGGTAAGTAAATGATTATGCATATAGCTGCCTGCATAAAGCTCAGTTTTGCCTTCTCGGCTTGGAAGTTGGGCAATTTTGCTCCATGCTAAATCATCTACAATATAGAGACAAGTAGTGTGATGTTTTGTAGTGCATCATGCCTCAATTGGGTCACTAGATGAAATATGAAATAACATGCTTCTATATAAATGTTGTTATAGCCCATAAAATTGTGGCCTGTTCTGTGCGTATGGACGAATGGTACGCTACTAAACACTTATGTATTATGCAATGACAAAGGAATGCTCTCCCTACGGAAATGTCAAGATTCCATGTGTATGGGTTCCTAGTAACAGGACTCCTCTGTTACAGCAAAAATTACATCCTATGTTACTGTAATTTAAATCTGTATTTTTTTTTAATATGAGATAAATAGCATGTGAAAGGAACTGTCACTTAGCTGACTGGAGCTTGTGTCATGTACCAACTGCTCCCGCTATATTGTATACATTTGAAGAAGTGATACATAATAAAATGCATTCTAAAGTTCCTGATTGGCTATTTGACTTGATTACCATGTAATTTGTGTGTAACTAAATCTGTTCATACACATTATAATATGGATGGAATGTACTGTGTTAAAGCTCTTCCTCTAATATAGATACATACCTACTGTACACGGAGACCGTATTGGTTCATCCTTATGTAAAGTAGTTTTGCATTTTCACATATAGGCTCCATGTACACAGGACACTTCTGAACGATGGAAACTGACTGCTGGAAAACATAGGTAGGGCAGCACAGAGGCTAAATGGTTAGCACTTCCACCTGGCAGTACTAGGGTCATTGGTTTGAATCCCAACCACAGCACCACCTGCCTGGAGTTTGCATGTTCTCCCTGTACCTGTGTGGGTTTCCTTCAGGTACTCCGGTTTCCTCCCACACTCCAAAGACATGCTGGTAGGTGAACTGGATCCTGTCTAAATTGTTCCTAGTATGTGTATGTATGAATGTGAGTTAGGGACCTTAGATTGTACGCCCCTTGAGGGTTAGGGACTGATGTGAATGTACAATACATATGTAAAGCGCTGCGTAAATTGACTGCGCTGTATAAGTACCTGAAATAAATAAATAGGTTAAAAAACGTCTGCTTAGCTGCGTTTGCATACCGCGTTTATGAGCGTTTGCTTTTAGAAGCGTTTTTTAAAGATAACCTCAGGAGACCTTCTAAAATGCCCAGAAAGCACTGAAAAACAGTAAAAAAATAACAATTTCAGACATTTTGAGAGAAATAGAGAGAGCAGAAGCAGAGAGAGCAGTAATTGTTGAGATTAGCTGTCTTTTTTTTTGTTGTGGTGTTTGGATGTGTTCCGGCTCATTTCTGTGCAGGAATTATTGCAGCAGTGTCTAACATATTTTCTTTCATGCAAAACCTCAAAGTATGGTGTACCAGGTCCATTTGAGTGACGGGAAAACGCTTTGCATGCATTTTTCATGATGAAAAAAGGCTCTGGACAGCATCTGGAAATGGAAGAGTTAAAAAAAAAATTTCCAAACACAAACGCTTATAAACTTGGTTAGCTGTGTTTACAAGTGTTTGACATTTGAAACGCTGATAAAATCTACTCCAGAATGCAAGTTTGGTGCGTTCAAAAAAAACAACTGTAAACTCAACTGCCTGTAAACGACATAGTGTACATGGACACATAGAAAAACATTAGGGAGAGTTCCGGGGCTGCTGAAAAAAAAAAAACGCAGAAAAGCTCCTAAACGTCAGTTTATCAGCTGCAGTATACGTGGAGCCATATTGTATATTCCACATGGTTTCTATCTGTCACATAAAAGTGTGATCTTGCATCATGTGACAGACAGGGCTAGTGCTAGACTATGTTGTGCCGTAGACAAGATCATGTACTCCCCCCCCCCCCCCCCCCCCCCCAAAAAAAGAAATTAAATCAAAAAATGAAAACAGTAAAAAATATGAAATCAACAATATATGAAACTGCTAAATTTCTTTTAATTTGCAAAAATAAGTGCCATAAGATGCCACCAGCACCAATATTAATGACAAAAATATATATTAACCAAATATAAATGGTAAAACTGTATTAACCACTTTCCCTCCAGAGGATTTACCCCCCTTCCTGACCAAGCCATTTTCTGCAATGCGGCGCTGCGTTACTTTAACTGACAATTGCGTGGTCGTGCAACATTGCACTCAAATGAAATTTATGTCCTTTTTGTCCACACAAATAGAGCTTTCTTTTGGTGGTTTTTTATCGCCTGTGCAGTTTTGTTTTTTGCGCTATAATAAAAACTAAAAAAGACCACCAATTTTGAGAAAAATACAATATTTTTTATTTTTTTGCTATTAAACATGTCCAGTAAAAAAAAAATTTTAAAAATCTAATTTCGTCATAAATTTAGGCCAAAATGTATTCTGCTACATGTCTTTGCTAAAAAAAAAAAATCCCAATACGTGTAAATTAATTGGATTACATGAAAGTTATAGTGTCTACAAATGGCGGTGTATATACTGGAATTTTTTTTTTATACTAGTAATGGAGGCAATCAGCGACTTTATAGCGGGCATTCTGACACTGGGGGGGACTGACTAACTGCCACTGACATCCCCAGTGGCACCAATACAGTGATCAGTGCTAATAAAAAGCAATGACACTGTACTAATGACACTGGGGAGGAAGGGGTTAACATCTGGGGTGACCAAAGGGTTAACTGTGTGCTGTTTCACTGTGTGCTGTGTGTGTGCTTTACACTGTAAGCACACTGCTTTGTATGGCTCTGCTATGCAGAGCCATACAAAGCAATGTGCAGGAGCTGACAGGGGAGAGATGTGTATTGTTTACATACAGGTCTCTCTCCCATCTATAATACATGGTGCCAGCAGGGAATAACTGGCCAGGACCGATGATTGACAGCCTAGGCCGCCAATGGTCTACCTGGAAATGCAAAATCACTGTTCAATTGCTTGGTAACACAAATTGCTAATCAGCCAATCACATTATATTAGAGTAGATTCAACTTTTTGTTATTACACATTTAAAAATACAAGGCAACGAAATGCAGTTTAGTTTCTAGCCAGAAATGCAATAAGCAGTACAAAATATATAGTGTCTGCAATAGACACTATTTATGAACATAATGTACATGTGGAAGTACTATGGCATGGCAGCAACTCAATGCATTTAGGCATCTAGATGTGGTGAAGGTGACTTGCTGAAGTTCAAACCGAGCATCAGAATGGGGAAGAAAGGGGATTTAAGTGACTTTGCATGTGGAATGGTTGTTGGTGCCAGATGGTCTGGTCCGAGTATTTAAAAATCTGATGATCTACTGGGATTTTCACACACAACCATCATCTTTAGGTTTTAAGATAATAGTCCAGTGAGCGGCAGTTGTGATGACAAAAATTCTTTGTTGATGTCAGAGGTCAGAGGAGAATGGGCAGACTGGTTCGAGATGATAGAAAGGCAACAGTAACTAAAATAACCACTTATTACAACCAAGGTATGCAGAATACTATCTCTGAATGCACAACATGTCAAACCTTGAAGCAGATGGGATACAGCAGCAGAAGACCACACCGGGTGCCCCTCCTTTCAGCTAAGAACAGGAAACGGAGGCTAAAATTCACACATGGTCACCAAAATTGGACAATAGAAGACTGGAAAAATGTTGCCTGGTCTGATGAGTCTCAATCTCAGCTGTGACATTCAGATGGAAGGGTCAGAATTTGACATAAACAGTATAAAAGCATGAATCCATCTTGCCTTGTATCAATGGTTCATGTATAAGCGGCTGACAA